CTTCCTTCGATCGAAACTTCCGGTGACCCTAAACCGCAGTAGACGATCACGGATGGTAGAGTCGCGGCACACCCAGGACTTGGGCTATGTAACGGCAAAAGCATCTGTCCAGGCGAGAACTTCTTGGTTTAAAACCATGCTTTTAAGAAAACAAATTAACAATTAATTTTTTGGGGGGAGAGGGGAAGCGCAACGGTTTAGGCGGTGCTCATCTCTGTAAGCTAAAGGTCTCGGGGTTGTGATCAGTATAACTAATTATTGAGGAAAATAAACAAAAAAATTCATGTGTCCGTTTTTTTGTCTTTGGGTGTAATATGGACGGGTTTAGCTTTCATTGATTTTGTGTATTAGAGAGTTTCTTTTGAGAATTGACTATCCAACTTGGAGTAGAAAGCATAAACTTCATTGTTTATATTATAGTGGGCCCGTTAGGCTCATGACATACCGAGCGTCTAAAAAATCGCTTTTCGTGTTTGATGACATACTAGGCGTCAAAACGCTCTTCTCCATCTCAAAAGTCTGGCTGTTGCTGGGATTCCGTGCGTCTAGACGCTCACCCGCAAAAGTTTAGACGCCTTTTCGCCTTTTCCAGCGTCCACCCAGTGTAATGTACTCGCGCTCATTTAATGTACACAGCGATTTTCAATTCTGACGCTGCCATTTGACGCCTAGTATGTCATGAACCTTAGGTGTTACTACCGGTTCTGGAATGGTCTCGCCCTCCACTCTGCAGCGAATCAGAGCAGAGCCAGTAAGCAGGGGCACTACCCCATTGGCTTTAGACTCGTCAACCCGACGAGGTGTCACCATACCTTGAGATTCGACAACCAGACGAGGTCTCAGCGTCTCACTCCTACCCTCGGACGCATCAACCCGACGTGGTCTCACTCTACCCTCAGACTAGTCAACCCGACGAGCACTCACTAATCGAAAATGACAGCAGTCTCGTTAACCCGAGAAATTCTTGCCTATCACTAATGAAGCAGCTATGACGATGGCAAGGGTACTCTCAGCCTCGAACTCGCCTTCACAACATAGCCGCCTCGGCTAAAGGCAAACCGCTGCACTCGGCCAACTGCTACACCAGAGTCCCTTCAACCGATGTAGAGTCAGCCGACTCACGGCTCCGGACCTCAGCCAACTGCTCTCTCTACCAACAGGAGCCACACTCGGTCGATACATCGTCTCAACGCCACGCTTCCAAACACCGGCCCTTGTCAGGGCCACCATAAAACGCCCAGTCACTAAAATATCAAACCAAAACTTTTTACTATTAGTGTTTATTATTAATTAGGTATTTACTTTCTAATTGCTTTCTTTTCTATTTTGCATGTGTTTAGTGCATGTGAATGTTCTGCTAATCCATCTGTTAAGAAAATCCATTGATTTTGTGGCAAAATATGTCGACTCGGCCCAGTCCAGGTTTCAGTCGCAGTTAGAACGCTTCGTGATGAACTGATACCCTTCAAATGCCGCTTTATTGTACTTGAACAATAGAAGTAGGCATAATATTAAATAAGAAACCAGGACTTAGAAATGGAAAGCGTTAAAAAATTAACGTGCGACTTCACGCCCCGTGAAGCGCATACCAATTTATGAACAGTTTGTTTATAAACAAGCATGCGTACAGACACATTGCCACGCGCCGCAATTTACATAATGACGAGGAAAATAATGAAATAGCCGTTAGCTGAAGGTGGGGTTAAATGACTTCTCACTTGACTTCAGTTAGGGCCGGAGTTTCTTAGATGCTACTTTTACACTTGTTGAGGTAAATTTAACTATCGCCAATTACGCGGTTTTCAGCGACTTTCTGTATTTTTTGATACACGCCAAACTTTTGTGAAAACCCATTCCATGAGTGTCAGATCATACAGCAACAATTTTGCCTACATTCTAATAAACAAAATTTGGTTTTCCAGTTAAAAAAAATATAAAAAAACAAGTTATATATGTGGAATATAATGTTAGATCGTTTTTTTAATTTATTTATTTTTTATTTAAGTTTTGAGAAACTTTTGAGAAGTGTTGAGTATAAATAGTGCAGACTATTTAAACTATTTAAATTGTGTCAACGTTTCGATTGACTCCTATCATTTATTGACGTGCAATCAAAACGCCAGAGGGAAAGAAAAGTCTAATCTGTCTAATAGTTCTATATTGCAAAAGGATAAATTCCGCCAAAGAATTGCGTACTGCCGAGGACGGTCGACAAAAAAAAAAAATTAAGTCTATACTGGATATTGCACAGATTCAGGGTTACCCCAAGGAAGTAGCTTGAGCCCCACCCTCTTCAAATTATGTCCACATACCTATCATTTCTGAAACTATCCTGGCCATCATGCGGATGATACCGCCATCCTTTCATAAAGATCATCTCAACCAGAAACCTGTCAACCCAGGCTACGTCCTTTGAGGAATGTTTCAAGCGGTTGAAAATGACAAACGTACAAAACTGTGAACATGTCACTTTCACCCACTTCTTTCATCTACTACCTTACTACCCCTCCCCCACCAACTATAGTGGACCTATACATGGTGTATGGTGGAACCAGCTACCTTGGACTATACATTGACTAACATTACATGAAACCCACACCCATGGAGAGACAAAACTCAACAGATGCTTCAAAAATGACTGCAAAACAAATGACTTGTTTATATCACCAGTCTGAGACTCATTTGGACACCATACAGTTTGAGGTTCAACCTCCAACATATGCAATCTTTACAATCCAAAATCCTCTGAACCATCTTTTTTGTATGTATCCAGTCTTACCATTTACAATCCAATATGTCCTTGATGTAGAAAAAAAACAGCTACAAAAAGTTTCACAAACAATTATAAAAAAAAACCATCGTGGATTATTATCCTGATGATTGAAGCATCGCTGGCCTTTCAACCTCCTAAGTGGCATTGAAAGTGATTGATGCCAAATGGACAGAAGTGATTACTATTGAGTAGTTCCTCCTGTTTTTTAATTTTCTAAATTAATTTGTTTTAACTGATAAACAGTTTTGAAGAGATGTAATTTGTATTAATCTCTTTCATAGAAATGCTTGTCTTGTAAAATATGTAATAGATTTCATTCAGAGTTGTAGGTTTTCTCAAGGAAGGGCTCTTCTTTAAAAATAAGTTTCCATTGAGTATCTCAAGTATTTTTATATATGCAAATTAAACAAGCAACGAAAAGTTTTTAAATTTTATTTGAAAGACACTTACACAAACTCGTTGTAAGCTGATTACAAACTTTTAATATTCGACAGCTATGTTGGATATGGATAAACAAATTCTGTAAACAAAATATATTTTATAAAAACAGATAAACCACTCTTCTAGTAGAAGAATTTTCATCATTTGTGCCTTCTGTAATTTTTCAGTGCTTCCATTTGTTTAAAACTGTTACTAACAACAAGTTTTGTTGTTAAAATCCAAGCCTAGCAGATATAAAAGAATTCAACTCTGTTTTGACATAGATTAGATGTTTTAAGTCAGATGAAATAAATTGTCATAGTATTGAATAAATGTGAAACATTATTTACATTTATTTAAAATTAAACTTTAAACGTTAATAAATAAATAGAACATGTGTGTTAATATGAAAACAAACAATCAAATGAACTTAGTTAAACTATTTATCATTAACACTCTTGTTTGCAGTCTTCAAATCCAAAAACAATATTAATTATTAGCTAGTTTGAAGAAAATTTTAAATAATTGTTTCGATGTGACATGGGTTCACAGGTTACTGGTTGAGATGGTCTTTATGAGGGGAGATGATCCAGAGAATTCGTGTGTATGAGAGGAATGATGGCAGTATCATCTGCATAGGTGGCAAAAATAGTTTCGGAAAGGGTAGGTATGCATACTGTGTAGAAAATGGGTCCTAAGATACTTCCTTGGGGTACCCTTGAATCTGTACAGAATTATGGCTTACAGACTTGAAATATCTGTTGATTAAATAGGTTTAGTACCAGGTAATTGGTCAAAGGGAGGGCTGTCTTAAGTCCAGTGCAGCTCAAGTGCTATGCTGAAGATAATATAAATTGAGTCATTAGTTTTGATCAGTTTTCCAGCAGTCTTTTAAGAATTGTAGCAACTGAGTTCTTGAGTCATTTGTGTGGGTTCAATATGCCTTTTGTCAATTTATAGCCCATGATAGAAGACTGTAAATGGTGGGAGAGGTGTACTATTGTAGTAGATGGGAGCAGCGGTTAGTCTTCAAAAGGTGAAAGTGCATGTTCATTTTTGTACAGGTGGAAAAATAGTTTCAAAAGGTTGGTTTCAAAGTAGTTTGCTAACTGTGTAGGATGGGTCTTAAGATATATATTCCCATATTCCTTGAATTATTTATCGGTTAAGTCGGATTTTAGTATCAAGTAGTAAGTCAAAGGGAGGCTTGTCTTAAGCTTCTAGCTTCTGGGTTCGCAGGTTTCTGGTTGAGATGATTTTACCTGCTAATTTCAGAAAGAGAAGGAATGTCTGCATACTGTGTAGAGGATCGGTCTTAAGATACTTCCTCGGGGTACACCGTATAGAGAGCCACTGATGTCTTGAAAGTATCTGTCAATTAAGTAGGAGTTTAGTATCAGATAATAAATAGCGGACTATAGTTTGTGGGTGAGGGATACTACAATATTTAAAGTCCTTCAATATTTTATACCTTGACATTCTACAATTATTACCTACACTATAAAATGATTATGCATACTCAACAAATATTTTTGATCAATAACTTTGACGTTAATTTTATTTTAAATTAAGTATCCCTGCTTGTCTGAATGTTGTTTTCAAAATAGATATTTTAGTAGTTGTTAGTTCCTTAATTATGTTTAAAAAGTATTAATAATTAGTGCGCAAATAATAAAACTTTACACATATTTGCTTGCTACTAGTTTTCTAATACCGATACTTTTATTTACTGATTTTTGTTAATGCATTACAGCAAAAATAAAGAAAGGTGTTAATAAAATATAATATTTAAAATTTCTGTTTATAGATGATATCAAATTTCTCCGTGGAAAACAGTAATAATAAAAATGGAGGCCTAAAAAATGCCATATCAAGAATAAGTACTGAATACAGGTTACAATTTGCATGGCCTAGAAGTGGTAAGTCCAAAGAAGATGACAAGAACAATTTGCCAAGGAAATCGCTAAGTATGGGAGCCATCAAACCCCAGGCCCAAATAGCCCCAGTACACAAGAAGCGAACATTACAACAAGAGGGTAATAATAATTGTTGTGTCTATCAAAATTGTCAATAGACAAATCCAAATGTTATGCTTAATTAAGTTCTACTTGTTTGTTACAATACGCTCACATACAAATAAACAAAAAGCATACAAATTATTTTATGAACTCAACAGTTCATTTTTTGGGTTCTTTCTATATGTGTATGTCCTACAAATTAAAAAAAGAAAGAGTAAAAATATATTAATAGTGTTAGGTTACGACACCAGGAAGAATATAAACTAGTCAGTAATATTTTATAAATTTTAAATGAAAATGTTAAATTTTGTTATGTTTATTTGCATAGGAAGTGGTGAAATGGAGCCTTTGGTAAGTGCCATCGACACTGTTGATACTGGGGAAGAAAAAATCCAAGAAGAATCATTTAGTAAAGAAGATAAATTCAAATTAAGGTAATAATAAATAAATATTGTAGTATCATTCAATTTATCATATAACCTTTTTGAAATTTACAGTCAAAAATCGGAAATTAAGACTGAATATGAGAAAAATTTTCGACCATTTTCACAATACGACTCAAATGAAATTCGACCGGTAAAGGGAAAACGAGACCCATTCATCCAACCCCAACCGCAACAACAACTTCCGGATACTTGGTTCACTGAAGTTATTGAACTTAGAAAGAAAGCAGGACAATATAAGGTAAATTATCCAACTATAGTACATTGAATGTAAAAGATCGCATGATGACTTATTTTTTAAATTTTACATTAAGCATCGTGGATGGGGCACAGAACTTGTCCCTGAGCACATTGCCGAATTGTATAGCAAGCAGATGGGACTTTGGGAACAAGTTTCGCGTCGTTCCTCTCTATCAGCACTCTCTTTAGCATCTTCAACACATCGACCGATTTCAAAAGAAGAAAAAGAAAAAGAAAACAACAAGAAATCTTCACCTACTAAAAACTGGCAGCATTCTAAATTGGGCAAGGTAAAATTTAATATCAATTTAAACATATAATAAAATTTTGTAAAACATATTTTAACAATAGACATCCTTATTAGTTCTTGTTTATTACAATGAACAAAGAATTTTTTAATATTGTGTACATGCAATTAAAAATAATAAATAATTCATCAAATATTCATGTTCATATTTGGTATTTAACCTTTACTTGTCTATTGTGCTGTGACAATTGGCAGAAGGTATCTCCTCGCCAAAGAAAGACCACAGAGATTCCCTTTCTGTGGTACACAAGTATCTGTAAATCACATATTAGTAGAAAGAAAGAATTAGCACCACAAAGAATAAGGTGTGGCTTGCTTACAAATTTTAAACAACTTCTAAGGCACATATGGAACCCTTTCATACATAGGTTCAAATAACATCCTTAATTTGAGTGAATGTATTTATTGGTGTGAACACATTAGTATGCTTTGGTGATTCGAGCACCTACAACCACACCAAAGTAGTCTAGGTTATTTAGTTTTATATACATATATTTGAAATTTGATTGCAGTCACTGTCATTATATCAAAAACCATGGTGACTACCCAATGGTGTGAATGCATTTATTTTTGTGAATGGTTAAGTGTGTATATGGTTTGTGTGGAATATCGAGTACCCACAGACCTGTCGAACTATTTAGAACCTCTTAGGATAGTGAATACACAATTTTTTACTGTATGTGAATGTATTTATTGACATGAATGAAGGAAGGGCGTCAAGGTGCTGGGCTCATAACCGTAGGTTTAGGCTGTGCATAATTTTAGTGTAGTTGTAGGGGTGACGTCTCAGCAGTATATCAAGAACCCCATGTTTAGGTTAGTTTAAGTAAGATAATCTTTTAAATAGCATGAAGGCGTATTTTAATGGACGCGGTATATTTTAATCATGTGTAGAAGGGTTAAACATTAAAGATAAAATGAATATGATATAGACAAAACATGAAGTGCTGGCAATGAAGCCAACCGCCAGCAGGCCGGAATTTTTTTTTTTTTTTTGCAAAATTCATCAAGTGTCAATGCACAATTATTTTGAATTTTAATTTTCCTTATATTATTTAAACCTTTTCATGAGATAATTTGTATCTTTTCAATTGTTTTTAGGGTGAAAAATATGATGACTATAAAAAAGATGGAATTCATCGCTCTAGGTTTGACAATTTTGTTAGGCATCATCTTGAACGTACTACTGGAGTTGGTGTGTATATTAAAATACAATTAAAAAATAAGATTAAATTTAAAAAAACTGTTTTCCATAATAATTTACTTATTTTAGGAGAACAAGGAATATTACATTCACCAACCAGGGAAAAATTAGAGCCTGTGATTCCTCGGAAAAAGGATGGAAGTGACTTAAGCCAGAGTCCTCAAAAAGCACACTATACTGGTAAAAAATATGAATTCAATAGATTTCTTGTTTATATTGAAACTACTTGTTTATGTATAATGAATTAAATTATATAACATGAACATATAAATAGTTGAGAAATTTATACCATAAGCACGGAGTCTGGTTAAAAATTTAAATGATACCATTAAATAATTAGTATTTTGAAATTAAAGTAATAAAATATGTAAGAAGTACTCAATTTTGTTGACATATTGGTAATCACGATTTTATTAAATTGGTTTCATGTATTGTGTGTGCTGTAATTGCAGTAATATAGAAAACAAATAAAACGGAGTGTTTTTTATTATTTTAATTGCAATTGTCATAATTTTAATGTTACAGGGAGATCTCAATCAGCTGGATCACCGAAACGTGGAACTTCGAAATTACACCAAAAGACGCCACCTCCAGAAAAACGAGAACGACCGAGTAAGTGAAATCAAAATAAATAGTCTCCAAGATATGGATGCTCGAACATGTTTGTCTGTGTTTGTTTTAGCTCTTTAACTAATAATTTCACGATAAAGTTTATTTTGGGCTTAAATTAATTCCCCTTAGCGATTCAGATAAATTATATTGGTTTGGTCTTTAGGCAAAAACTACTTTATATTAATTTCAACCAAATTGACAAATTATGTTTTATTTTTGTTATTATTATTTTGTAAGCTGGCAGGATTATCTTATTCAATGATTTGTTTTATTTCAACTTAGGCATATGTTTTAAACGATCAATTTCCAGATTTAGTGAAGGACAAAATGTTTAGATGTTGGCATGGTGTGTACTTGCTTACTTCGGACCCAAAAACATACAACATACTTTTAAAAATATATGTAAATTCTACTATTATGTGATCCGTCTATATATTTACTAGGTAATAATTATGCTAGGAAAAATATTATTCTTGTACAAACCAAGTTGATTGTAGACATTGGAAAAAGTATAAGTAAAAGTAAGGTTTGATAATTTGAACAAAGTAGGTTGATTTAGGTAAAAATAATGTAGCAAACCACACTACTATTGCCTCCCAAAAAATATACTCATTGCTCAAAAAGAGCAGATCCAATTTGTGACAAAAATCATAATTTCATTTCCAGTTCCTTTGTTAATTGATAAATAGCTGTAGTTGCTTTGTAGCTTATAGGGCAGTGTTTAAATTCATTCATTAAATTCACTATTAATTTCTTTAAAAACTCCTTTTTTATATTTTTTAATTTAAATGACATAAAATGCAACAAAGTTCGTTGAGAACAACTTCTAATTTTTTTAAAAATTGTATTGGTTTTTTTGGTAAACGGAATTGTTTAAGTTTCAATTTGTGTGACACTCTAATACCTGATCCCATCATCACAGATGTGAAAAAATATATCTGCATGACTGCATGATTTCATTTAATTATCACAATGACCCATATATACTTTTTTTCTATTTTTAAATGTTCACATGAACAACTTTGAGCTATCATTGAATGTCCTAGTGAAAATTGTAGTTTGCATGGAAATTTTAAAGCATATTACTGCAATGTTTTCAATTGAAACACAATCTAATTTTACTCCTTTTATTGAAGAAAAAAAAGGAAAACACCAAATTAGTTGTATATTACTCATGACCATTGCCTGATTTGATTTTCAATTATTAGTGTATATATTATATATATTTATAGTATTGTTTTCTCAAAATATCAATCGGCTGGATTTGCGTTAAGCTTAAATTAAACGCAAATTACAAAACAATTTTATCAACATTAAAGCTTTAACGAGAGTGTACAATTTAATTGCTCATGTGATGTTTGATGTTATAATTGTTCTAGGGTCTACTGTAGCTTAGTTTCCTTAACCAAGCAATAACTGGTTAACAGAAATTGTTTTATTTTTCCATTTTATTATTTTTTCTTTTTTTATAATAATTTATTTATTAATTGCATCTAAAATTTCTGTAGTCAAACTTAAAACAAAATAATTGCTCCTTTTCTCACATATAGGCAATTCCAATAATAGTGCACTTTTATACTATAGATTGCATTTTGCCTAATTTACTTTAGCTTTCACTAGTATTTCCAAAAGCTATGATCTTCATGAACAGTTAATGAGGTGAAAGAAATTATTGCTTCTTTAAAGTTCTATTGTATTTATGCCTATTTTATTTTTTCTAAGGTTAAATTTACACATTACATTGCAACATATTTAAGAAATATTTTCACTCAAGATATCTCACAACACATTGCTTTCATATTGTTCGAATAAACAATCAAAATTTACATTAAAAGCAAATTACCTGAAAGTGAAAAAATACTCGTAAAAGATAACTGGTAAAACATGGTTCTGAAATACATTATTTTATGTTTTATTGATTTACTTGGCAGGAGTGTTAAATTAGAAATGCAACATATTTTATTAACCAGATTATTTAAATATTTTATTTTTTTTATGAGATTTCCTCTTGGAGTATGCAGAGTGATAAACCTGAAGTTTGTCGTTACCAATCATTTTGGTCTGCCTATTCTTGCTGGTTTTGGTCTGTCAGATGCATTTCGGCTTCTTGCCATCAACAGTAATCGGTCTGTGTCCTCTGAAGATATAGAGAAGCTGAAATTCATTGACCAGACCAAAACAAGCAAATTTAGGTAGACAAAAATGATAAGATACTACTAGGTAGCCATAAAAGTTCATGCCGTTTTTCATTTGTTTGAAAAAGTGTCTTGAACAGTTCACTGTAAATGAAAAAATATTTTCTTTCTCATGACTTCAAAACCAACCTTCGTGCTTATTGTATGAATTTGGTCTTCATCTCATTAAATTTGCACTGCATTTCGTGATGACACAATAAGTGAGCACACTGCCCAAAAGTGGTTCAGAAAGTTTGCTTCTGGGAATGAGGGGATTGAAGATGTCAGTCTGGTAGAAATTCTATCTTAATTCAAGTCAAATATGTCAGAAGACTGCCAAAATTGAACCAGCAATGAAACCATTCACTCAAGCTTATATCCATATAGGAAGACGTGGAAGCTCAGCAAATTGGCTTTTCATAAATTGACCGACATTAATGAGCTTCAGTGTCTAAACATTCCCTTTTGCTTTCACAGCACAGAGTACATTTTTCAATGTTCTGTCCAACTACTCATCGACAAAAGTTGACGCTTGGAGTATGACAGGCATTGTTCATTATGAATGACAGCCAGACCATCTCCACAGAAATCTACTCAAGCCAACTGCGATGAGTATCTCTTGTTCTAGCCGAGGAGCAACTTGCTCTCAGGAACAGATGTAATTTTTCACCAGGACAACGCGAGACCTCATACAGCCAAACGGAAGAGTTAATAATGAAGTTTGGTTTGAGAAGTCCTTACACACTCTTCAAACTCTCTAGACCTGGCTCTATCAGATTTTGACCTATTCTTAAGTAGCAATCGGGCCAGTAGCAAATCATATGTGCAATCGGAAATTTGAATCACGAACAGCTGGAAAGTGAGCTGAATTTATTTTTTAAGTTCTGGGATACAGAATTTTATAAGAAGGGCTTAACTGGGCTAGTAATTTGTTGGGAAAATATTATAAATGCTGATGGAGACTATTTCCCTGAATAAAAATTCATAACTAATTTTAATTGAAACAATTCTTAAACCCTTTAAGCCTACATGAACTTTTCTGGTTACCTGGTACAATTAGTGAATCAGTTTTTTAATAAACTTACAAATAAATACTACAATCTATTCTAGAGTTTAGTTTTTAAGCGATTCACTGGTTTAGATTAACTATTTATTATTTAAATTAATTAAATTGCTTGTTTTTCATGTTGAAAAAGACAGAATTTTATTCTATAAAATATTATAATTAAACTTTGTTAAGTAATTTGCAGTGCTTTGAGTTTTGATTGTTTGTATTAACTGTGTGTGAGAAGAATTCGTTAATTGATATAAATAAAAAATTAAAAATCAATAGTTAAGATGCTATGGCAAACAGACTTAGCCTTCAATTTTGATTCTTACATTCATCCAGAAAACACGTGTAAACCTCAAGAATACTGTGAACCCTAAATCATCTGTAAGCAGACAAATTTAAATAGAAGATTTGTAAGAAGGCGATATTTGAAAACAATAAACTATGAAGAAAACTATAAAAAGGAAAAACTCTGTTCATCTTGTGTTTTTTTTAACATGAGCAGTTAAATAAATATAATGAAATGAAGATACGTGACATCATGAGAACATTAAAGAGGAATAATAGACCTACATAGAAAAATGTCGCAGTGATACACAAAAATGGATATCTGACATACCCATCTGGCATAAAGGATATCAAATGTGATGGGAGAAGATTGCGATGGAGAGAAGCTTTGACTACATTAATTAATAGTAATGCACTACATATTCTGATATCGTGGTTAGAGACAATTCTGTTGAACCAGTTTTTGCAAGAAAAATGTACTTGATTCTGAAATATGTGTTTAGTTAGTGCTTTATTCTCTTCTGTATGTTTCTTTAGCTACCCTTCAAACCGCTCCCACCCGAACCAAATCTAACACAGGTTCTGTAAAAGCCAGTGATTCCAAGGCAAGAGGGACTCATAAACCTAAAGAGATAACCTCACCAAACGTCAATGATACAGACAAAAACAGTAAGTATAAGGATGGCCATCAGTATTTTGATATTATCTTCAAATCCTACCGTTCCACATTTTAAACAGTAGGTGTTTGCACACATAATTATATCTTACAGATTTATTAACAATAAATATGATATACCCTTCCTTCTATATCTTAAAATTTCAATACTAAAGCTTTGTTCATATTTACTCTCCATTATTTTATTACAAGGCTTTCTGGCTTAACTTGAAATTTTAACAATATCAAATTTCTTTATGTAAAACATCTAATTAATCGTTTCACTGCATTTTAGTGTTTTGTAAGTAGTAATGCACGCATAACACTCTGAATGATCCTGCATGCGAAATGATCACATTTCATTTTCATATACATTTTCACAATGAGTTTTTATGGCAAATTTCAAAGTGCAGAAATTCAAAATTTTAAATAATGGTAACTAAAACTGATTTGAATTTGAATCATTTTATTATAACAAAATGTCACGAGGGAGAGAGAGAGAGAGAGAGAGAGAGAGAGAGAGAGAGACAGAGAGACAGAGGAGAGAAAGAGAGAGAGATTGAGAGAGAACTATATTTTAAGAACGGTAATCATGAATTAACTCATTTTAATCTCTCATCTCTCTATATACAGTTGTGTATTTAATTGGTTGATTTTGAACAAAAGTTTTAAAAAATCCTTTTTGTTTTGTACATATAAATAATATTAATAGCACAAAAGAAGTTAATTGTAATACAGCTGGGGGAGGGGGATTTGTGTCGGTGGCCACAACGGTTAATGCATTGACATAGTGCTCATCACTGTAAGGTAAAGGTCCCGGGTTCAAATCCAGCATCCTTCTATTCAAACTCTGATATATACTTACGAATGGGCATGTTTCTTTTTTTTTCCAAAAACACCAGCATCCCAAGGGTTGATATGACCTCTGCCATGACAAACCCTTGTAAAATATATATACACAGCTTGGAAATAGTGAAAGGAAATAAGCTGATATCTCAATTCAAGGGTTAAAAAATATGCCTAGAACCTCAAAGACTGCAGTGAAGTGATGAAGTAGGTTGCTCAAAGAATAATTTTATCAGTTCGCTTAATTATTAGATAATATGTATTGACTATACATATTAGAAAAATCCTGCTGTACAAAAATTGAAACAGGAACGTCTATAATCAAACGTTTGTTATATCAGGTGGTATGCCCTGAATGAGGAAACCTTTTAAGTAAGTGGAGATCCACGTGATCTGTTTTAATTATTACGGTTATTTTTTCATAATTGTAACTTCTATATTTACTTTAAGTTTGAAATTGTTGAAAGAAGCATTTTACAACAGCACAGGTTTATTTCGCTTTCCGATAACTACCACTGTCTGATATTTCATCAAACTACATCCTATGAAATTTTGTGTCTATGTTTTTCAAGAAAGGGTAAGTTAGAGTAACTGTAATGGATGTAGAAATGAACCCTATTACTTTAAATTTTTTCTTCTCTGAAAGAATGGAGTGGGTTCAATCCCGCCCGAGGAATATTGAGTACTCTGGGGGAGAATGTCACCAGACATCTTTGTATTGGGTGTTGTATTTATATTAATTTATTAGAATGGATGTAATTTATTAGCATGAAAGGAAGGGGTTGTTCAACCCCTACCCCGAAAAATATTGAGTTCTCTGTTTGATGTCTGGAAAGTAAGTTATTAGCAAGAATGGAGTGGGTTCGACTACACCCCGAGAAATATTGAGCACTCTGGGGAGGTGAATGTCACCAGACATCCGTGTTTGTGGAGATGATGTTTTATTCTGAAGTTGACAACCTGAAGTACAAATTAAAAGCTAACATTTTAGAATATCGACTTAGTTTTCATACAAAACCAGAGAGTCAGTAACAAATCGAGATGCTCAAATGGCTGCAGTTGGCATGAAAGACCAGGAAAAGAAGTACAAACATGCAGAGGGTCAGCGATGACCTCAGCTTTTGTCAGCCCCTAATCTTCCCACATTATATATACACTGGTCTGTAATTCTGGCAAACAGACTGGTTACATAATGGATTTCTTTAAGAGTTGTAATCAATAGTATTACATATATTGTTTTGTGCTGTTGTTGCTCAACAATACCATTCCTTTTACATATTACCTAATCCTACGCAGCTACCTCGCTTTATGTATTTCCACATTAGCAAAGGGACTCCTTTACCACATATGTTCAGCTGACATTTTCCACCAACCTGAAGCAACATGATTCAATTAATCGGGCAATGGTGCAACGAAAAGATAATTAAAATCAGCACAGATAAATCCATGAATATCACTTTCACCCTCTATAAAATAAACCTGCCATCAAATGTATCCATATTGCAAGGTGTGATATTTGGGAATGTACTAGACCTGTGACACATGACTCAAAAGATGATATGAGGCCCTTTCAAGGTTCTGCATATACAATGAAACAAACCACAATGACCTGGACCCTAATCCTAATCATAAATTCCACAAAACTCTCTCATTCTTAATCAACTCATCCAGCAGCTCCCAACCTGCAGAATCTTGTTAAATCCTACACGGATGTTAAGTAGGCGATGGCCCAGAAATGTTTAGTCCATTGACGAAAGGGACATAAATTAACTGTATAATTTATTCAAATAATGTGGAATGCTACCAGTCGGTGGTTTTTCCTCTCTTTTGTTGCTATTTCCCTTATTTGTTTTGTTCATTTTCGTACACTTTTGCTTGTTACCCATAGTTGTAATACTCAATTTAAAAAAAAAAAAAATCTATGAAATCACTTGTAGGGGAGGGGATATGTAAATATATTCCTGTTACAGTTGTTCAACTTAATATCATCACATCCAATTCATTAATTGGTATATTTGATTCTTAAAAAAAAAAACTTTTATTCAATTGAATTTGTTTACAATCTTATAAATCAATTATTTTTATACTTGAAGAGCATAATTTGTCACACAAAGTTAAAATCCATTCAATTAAACTCTCAATTTATTTTTAATACTGGTTAGAATTTTTCATCGCAAAGGGAGTCAATTTGATTTTTTGTAAAACCTTTAAAATTTTCAATACGGTGGTACTTCAGGGGGAGTGAAGTATTCCACCTGTGGAATGGCTGCCTGCAGGAAGGTCATAATGCATAAGAATATTAATTTTTTTTTTAAATGCCACCAGACAGAACATGTTAAAAAAATCATTATCCATTTGTATAAATTTTTTTGTTTGATATTCGTACTAATTGTGATTGGCTTGCTCATATGAAGTTGTACCTGTATTTCATTATTTTTATTATCTTGCAATATAAAGTTGTACTGGTGCAGTACTATCTTTTTATACTGCTACAAATTAATTAAAATATAACAAAACAAATATATACTTTCAACTGAAGCAATGAAAAAGTTTCTGCAGATCTTTGTTACATGGAAAAAAAATCAAATTAACAAAAAGACCATCACCGCAGAACTCAAAAGTCATGCGGATTTAGTATACAGGGTGTTCCATTTATGACCTTACAAATCGTTAAAAAAAATTATTTTGCCTGATTTCCCCTCGAAAGTATACATAACCTTGGCTATTTACAGAATCTCAAACAGGTTAGAATCGATAATTTGATCGCTTAAAATCCTACACCATACATTTACCGACCACCAATGATCAACCTCATGGCAACAGTCTGGACTAATAATCAGTAATGGCTGCTGGGTTGTTTTAATGATCAATCATTGTTAAAAGTAGCTTCATTGGAGAATAAAATTTTCCTGGAGAAACCCTGACTTTATTCTTGCAGATTGCAAAACTCTGACATGTAGCATCTTAAAGTGCAAACTTTGCATAAAAGTAATAAATCAATTAAAAATAAGTACTTAGGTTAAGAAGACTGACTAAAACATATATTAATTAATCTTTAATAATTTCTTCTGTAATGTTTTTAATATTATTTTAAACAATAAATAATTAATTTATTAGATAGTTGATTAATTAATTAGTGTAACATTGTTTGTATGTCTGCCTTAATGGACCTTTCCAGATTTGTATACAGGGTGTTTCATTTACCAATTACAAAATAATGTCCCAAGGAAAAAGTTTTCTTTTCACTTCTAGTTTATAAATATGATAATAATGTGTCATGGATAAAAATTTTAACAGAAAAATGTGGTTTTGGTTCTCATATGTCCATTGTATTTAATAGTGCTTATGTAGTGTCAGTTGTGACGTTTTCTTTCACACTACAGTCCGTTCTGAAAGGTTAAGTCAGTGATGGAACCAAATCAATTATTATCTAAAATTTTTGCAATACCACTTTTTACTTTCGTCAAATTTATTAATTATACATAATATAAGTTTTATCTTTAATTAAACGATGTCAATAACCATGTAAATTGCTGCCTCAAGTGGACTGCAGTGCATGATATATTTTATTTTACTATTATATTTTTTATTTACTGATCTTTGTTGTAGTTTCCTGAAGATTTTTCTTTTTCCTTTGGTGGACAGTTCTTTGATGACAGCTTGACTACCTTGATTTTCATGGGCCTGTATTTTGCTGAAAGTAGTTGCTCTTCTTATTTCTTTTAATTTGTGAAGTTAAATATTTCACATGAAGCAATTATCTGAATAGCCTTTTGCTGACAAAGTAATTAAAAAATCACTCTTTAATTTGAAGAATTTTTGTATATTTTAGTTATCTTTGAAACATTCCTAATTCCCCTTTTGATTGTTAAATTAAAATCACTTAAAATAAGATTTTTCTGAAAATACGAACACAGAGTGTCTTTGTACAGTTCTACAACAATTATAATTGCTTATTAAGTTATTATTACCTATTGCTGTCTTTCACCCTTCTGTTCCTTTTATTTCAGTGATTCTAAACGCCTTGATAAATATGTTTAAATTACTATTAAATCTGCCCCCTTTTTTCTGCTCTTCTTTACTGATTAATTTTATTATTTTATATTTTTTATTAAATAATTCCATAAAATTAAACAAGAGTGAAATACTTGAATGTAGATGATAATTATTATTAATTATACACAAAATTAATATAGTAGTGTAATGGTTTGTTAGGTGTGTCTTATAAACATGTGATTATGTCCGAGCAGGTATTGTTTTATTAAGAATCCGTGCACTTTCGTATTTATAATATGAATCATAATCTGGAAAATTGTTTTTAAAAAACTAGAATTAAATTAATAGCAAGAAGACATATTTTATGATGTAGAGATTAGGAATGGTTTTATTAAGAATCCGTGCACTTTCGTATTTATAATATGAATCATAATCTGGAAAATTGTTTTTAAAAAACTAGAATTAAATTAATAGCAAGAAGACATATTTTATGATGTAGAGATTAGGAATGGTTTAAGGAAAAATAACGTGGCAAAGTTGTGTCACTTTTATATATTTTCCTATTTTTATTTCAGAATCTAAGAGTAAAGGCGCAAAGTTTATAGCATAAAATAAAAAGAGAATTATTAGACAAAAGGTATTATTATAGGTTCTTTCTCATTTTCATGTACATATATTTTTGTCAAATGCCTTTTAAAATCCTCCATAGAATTTTTTGTATTCGTCAACTGTAACTGTAAATGATTTAATTTTGTGATTTTTACTGAAATTGTAAATGTATTGTGGAAAAATGGAACCTTTTTTTTCATAAGTTGACATCAATCAGCTTACCGATTTTAATTCGGTAATAAAATCCCTTTTACTTAAATGTGCATGTAATGGGTTAATATCACTGTTTAAAAAAAATAAAAAATAAATAATAAGCATACGATTGAGTGTATTGGGTTTCAGAGGAAGAACCTGATGCAGCTATTTTGTCCGAACCTGTTGTCAAATCACCCCCTGAGCCAACCAGGGTGAAATCGCCGGAACAAATTCTCATGAGATCGCCGGAACCCGTCAATTGGACAGTTCCTTTGGACACAGGGAAGACTTTTACTGTTACTCAGAATGTATCTCAAGGTAATTACATTATCATATATGTTTTTCATTTTTTTTTAAATAATTTGTCAACACTACAAGATATTGTTACAGTAATTCTTTTAAGATTTGGTCGACTTTAACAGTTCTTTAAAAAAATGGCATGTAATTAAAGCATTTTTTTATGGTGTGTTTTAAGGTTTACTAGTATAATCAATTAGTAACTATACAGCTTAGTTTATCATGAAAATAATAAGGGTGTAACACTAGTGTTCAAAATAGCTAGTGTTTTATTGTTAATTCTGTTGATTTTTATTTCTTTTTTTCAACACTTTAACTCATTTTTTTTCATATGTACGATGCTTTTGAATTGGAAATATTAAGAATCGAGAATGACGGGGTTGTGTGGCTATTTTTAAAGAATTGGGTCATAAAATAAGCCTGTAGTGTTTTTTGATGGTAAATTCAATAGAAATTTCAGATTCGTGTAAACAAACTTAATCAACAATATACAAATCATTTTGTTCCACCTGATGCCATCTTTCATCTAATTTTGTAATTCCGTCCTCCCAGAACTTCTCAGGTTTTTGAGCGATGTTTTTTCTGCAGTCCTTAAGCAAAGTGAATTTCCCCCATCTGTAGAGTTTCACAGAAACCCAGAATAAGTTAAATAAAAATTCTAAAACTGTAGCACATCGCAACAATTTTTGGTGCATCTGCAAAGACACATGGAGCAAGCGTTATCCTGGTAGAAAAAAAAAATCGCTTTGCAATTAACAACCAATGGCATTTTAGGTCAGTTGTTGATTTTAATCGCTACATTTGCGTGCAGTACTAAAATTGATGATTTCGTTGGATGAAAGAAGCTTATAATCAAGCGCATTTGTGTAATTCCACTGAATGTACAACATTCTTGGGATGAAATCCAGCTTCTGGAGTTGGTAACAGTTGCTGCATTTCCTCAGGATTTTCCTCTCTGAATACTGTTGTAAAGGACCCAATTATTTATATAAATACCCCTGTTATCAACATTTTTAAAAATATGCCATTTACAAGGTATTTGACTCATGCATCATAAAAGTATCGCATATAGAGATGCGATCCAATAAATTCTTCTCAGTCAATATGGGAAGAACTCATTAAGACAAAAGCCTTGAAATTGGTCATCATCAACAGTTGAAGAACAATTAGATGCTTTGCGACTTATGAACTGAGCACAACTATTACTGACGGTACTTTTTCCTAAAGCTTCATAACAAATTTTCTTAGCAGTCTGAGCTGCAGTTTCCCCTTTGCTGTAAAAAAAAAAAATTAAATTACAAAAATGCATTTTTTTCTAAATTAACAAAATACCTTGTAAAAATATGAGATCTCGCATGAAACTGAAAATCTCTATTTCAGAGTGCATAAACCATAATGATGGTGATGGTGATGAGGATATTAGGAAGCGGGGTTTGTGCTGCGAAGGCAGTATGGGTCGTTCGAAGGCAGTATGGGGTTTGTGCTTCCCAGGCACTGCAGCCTTCTGGCTTATTGCACCTTCCTAGGTTCAGTGCAATCGACTCAATCCTTTTCCTCAGAAGTATTAGGTCATTGACTGTTGATGCTACAATTTCATTTCCTAGGTTTTCTCTGTATCTCCATTGAGCCGTTGCTTTGCATACGAACATGATATAGGTTTCATCCTCCTTACATAATCTACAGATGGGATCATCGTTATATATCCCCATGTAGTGTAGATGTTTTCTCAGATGCTAATAACTGATTAGTAGCCCTAACACTCATCTGAGTCTACCTCTCTCCAACTGTAGCAGTGAGTTTGCCAGTCTTGGTGAGGGTTATTTTAATATAAGTTTACTGGGCCTAGCGCCGCTTGAGTTTATCCACTTCTCCTTTTGTTTTATTTGGATCCATTCTGCGATGGAGGATTATGTATTTGTTTTTGCTATCCCAAGTATAGGTATATATATATATTACGCAGGGTGGAACCCGAGGGCTTAAATGCCTGGGTAGACTTGTACCCCATCCCTAAAAGGTCCGGGACTTGGTCGGCTCACGTGTCCTGCATAAACCTCTTGGACTTGTTCACAAACCCCAAGATTTTGGACCATTTTATCTCGAGGAGTGATTTGGCAATGCCCACTCCTTCAAAAGTTTCAAATCTATGCCTGGCATACCTATCACACTCTGCGAGGTAGTGCCGTGCCGTTTATTCTTTTCTTTCACAGAAGCAGCAGAAGGGGTCTGGTAAAATACCCATTATGAAGAGGTGTCTTCTCAAGGGGCAATGGCCCGTCAGGATACCTATCAGCCTCCTAATTCCCCTCCTTGAGTTAGAGAATAGCCTTCTTTTGGTTTGATCTCCTTCACAAACTCCTTCGATTGCCTATGTCCGGGGGACAGAGTCCATTCTTTTAGGAATTGTTTCATGCCCCAGCTATTAATACTCTCTTTCGCTGTGCTTGTAGAGTGGGGTAATACCGGTTGTGGCCCGACAAATGCAGTATTTGAGCCTTCTTTGGCCAGGCTATCCGCCTCTTCATTGCCATAGTGACCCTTATGAGCTGATATCCATATGAGGGTTACCCTATTCTCGTACCTGGTAGTAATCCTATTAATAAGTTCAACAATTTCCTCCACCAGCCTAGATGTTGATAGCTCTTTTTGTAATGACTTAAGATTGGCCTGACTGTCGGAAAAAATTCTAATGTCTTTTCCCTTGATCTTGTTATCCATAAGTGTTCTGCAGCAAACATTAATGGCCCATATGTCCACCTGAAAAACGGAGGTGTTATTACCATGAGGGGAGGAGATGCTGATCCCTTATTTAGGTATATTTATTCCAGCACCGCTTCCCTTGCCTTTAATGAGTGAGCCTTCGGTAAAACAATCTAGGCTGTGATGGTCATCGTCCGCACTGTAGTTATATTCTAGTTCAATTCAGCATTACATTCAAGTATAGGTCCAGGGCCTATATATCTTGCAGATCCTCCTCTGGCCAGTGTGTCTGCTTTTTCGTTACCCAAAATTCCTTTATCTCCTGGCACCCAAGATATCATCAGGTACCTGTTTCCCCAGGTTTTGGAGATTTTGGATGAATTCACTGGTAACCTCTTTTAAGATTGTCAGGGCACAGGCATTGATGGCTTGTATATCTTCTTGAAAGACTGAAGTGTACATCCCTAATGAGTTTGATTGCTCTTGTTTGATCTTGGGCTTGTACAAAAAATACCCGATCCGTTCCTTCATTTGTTTTGGAGATTTCTGTATACCATATCATTGTATCTGATGCTCTCCTGAGTTCTTCCTCTTCTTTAGAGTCAGTTGAGACTTTGTAGGATGTTGTAAAGAATGTTTCTGGGATCATATAGTCAGACCCTATTTCTAAGAATGGGGTGATTTTATTAATTATGGTTGTGTGTCCCAATTGTTTAGTTCCTATCCAACTTGCTTGAAGCACCCTCAGCACCATTCTTTACTGCTTTTTTGATGACGCTAAGGGTTATCATTGCAAAGCCAAGATAAAGTTTAATGTTTTTGTTTTGCTTAGAGCCCCAAAGGATACATCATCTATGTCTAACACCAGTGTTAGTCTTCTACTGTCTGGCTGGCTGACTCTCCATTGCCCGGTATTAATACCTGAGTTTTGGGATTTCATTTCATCAGAAGGTCAGGATCTGGCATCTACAGGCCACCCTAGTAGTTTTTATGATTTTTATGGTATCTCTATAGGGGCCTACTTTAAGGTTTGCACTTTTGGGTTTTGCTTCCCTTTCCTGATTATTTTCAGGATTGACTCCCCCTTTTGTTTGGCTCTTTCAATTGCCATTTCTCCTCTATTCCCCTGATATTTTCTTGGGTTTTAAGTGTTGTTTTTCAATCCTGTCCGTGAGGTTTCATCTTCTAGTTTGGTTTTTCCTAAAGACCCCTCACATGTGCAGAAGGTGACGTAAGGAGATTGTCTTCTAATTCTTGATTCATGGGAATTGGAGAGGGTTCAATTTCCATAAGTTGGTTTGTGGGTTTTCCTTTAGGTTGACTTCCTTTGCAGGTTCCCCCGGTGATTTTTGGTTTTCTCTTGGTTTATCCAGTGATTCCCACGAGTAAGAAGGATCTAAAAGTCAGCACCGGAGGAGCCCTCTCTATGGTGTAAGGTTAATGACTCAAGGGGATCACCTGGTACCCTCAGGCTCCGTTATTGGTACCCCTGTACCATCCATCCATCAGCACAGGTTGCATAACACCTTAGATTGGGGATGGAATGTGAGATTAGCATTGGGTTTGTGATTGGAGGAGAGGTAAGGTGTTTGGTGTTGGGATTAGGAGGTGACAGGTCCAGCTCCTGTTCCTCTGTGCCCCTCTTTCTATCTGTTTAATGAACAGGGTACACCCGCATAAGCTTTGTGAAGGTGGAAAGTCAGAATTGAGTATTGGAGGCTATTAGAGACGCATAGTACTCGTTTGTACCCCTCAACAGTAATGACTAAATAAAATTGTTTCAAAGCACAAGAGGGATAAATTTGAACTATTGAAAAATGCTACAGACTTATTACCCAATATTTAATTATAGTTGTTTCATCACATTAAAAAAATACATTTCAATGGTTAAACTTTTCAGTACCAATGGACTATAATTATTGTTATACAAACCACCTTGTTCTGATGTTAACAGATTGAAGGATGCCATCTAGAAAAAATTAATCTACTATTTATAGCGGTAAATATAGTAAAAAAATGTATTAGAAAACATCTTAACAACTCCATTCTTCATTAGCAATTTCTATTTGGAAAAATATCTTTCTAATGTTCAATTAATTTGAAGTTTGTAAAATAAAAAATGGTTTATACCATGTATTCAACAAAATAATAACATAGCATTCAAAGAATAGTTCTAATTGATTAAATCTTGATCAGACTTTTTTCACCAGTAATCAGAAAAGTTCATGCTGGTTTAAAGGGTTTAATCATTGTTACAATTAAAATGAGCTTAAAAGTACTTTAGGAGAAATAGTCCCCTTCAGCGTTTATAACATTTTCCCAATGAGTTACTAACCCGGTTAAGCCCTTCTTGTAAAAGTTGTGTCCCGGAACTTAAAAAATAAATTCAGCTCATTTTCCAGCTGTTGGCATTAATCGAACTCCCAAGTGCACTTATGATTGTCCATTGCTACTTAAGAAAAGGCGAAAGTCAGATCAGATAGAGCCAGGTCTAGAGAGTTTGAAGAGTGTGTAAGGACTTCTCAAACCAAACTTCATTATCACCTCGTTTGTTTTTCTGGCTGTATTACATTTTCCTGGTGAAAAATTGGGCCTTGTTCATGAGAGCAGGTTGTTTCTTGGCCAGGGGAGAGATACTCGTTGAAGTTGACTTGAGTAGATTTCTGCAGTGATGATCTGGCCAATGGCACAAGTTCATAGTGGACATGCCTGCCATACTCCACTAAACACAAAGAATCACCTTTTGTTGGTGAATATTTCATTTTCACTACAATGAGACAGTCATTTGGTGACAGCAAATAGCATAACCTCCTGGACTATATAGGTCCATTTTTCATCGCATGTGACAATTTCGTCCAGAAACGTACTTTGTACCTTGAAAGCAATGAAAGGCCAACATTTAGATGCTAAAGTTTTTTAATGATCAATTTATGAGGAACCCATTTGCTCAGCTTCCACATCTCCCATGTCAAAGTGAGCTGGAGTGAATGGTTTCGTCACTTACGTTGAATAATCTGGCAATCTCCTGACATGTTTGACTCTAATCAAACTTGATAGTTTCCTTCAATTTGTTGCCATTCAAGACAGAAGGTCTACCAGACCAAGATTCATCTTCAATCCCCTCATTCCCAGAAGCAAACTTTCTGAACCACTTTTGGACATTGCACTCACTTATTTTGTCATCATCAAATGCAGTGCAAATTTTATGAGCTGCCTAGGTCGCCCTACTAATAAACTAAATTTCATACAATAAGCATAAATTATTGGTTTTGAAGTCATGAGAAAGAAAATATTTTATAATTTACAGTGAACTCATGAACTTTTCTGATGGCCTGGTAATACTGGCAAAACATAATAGGGGGTTAAATGTTTTATTATCATATATGTTCATTAGAGATTCATTATCTAATATTATAAATTGCATTTCTGTACTATTAAATAAATATAAATAATATTTTTCCTGATATTATTTCTATGTAAAACAATTCAATTTGTTTATTTAATTTCCAATTCTTGTGGTCATTAAAATTCAATTTTAATTTAAATTATTAATATTCAAAAATGCAATGAATCTGAAATGTCTCATGTAACATAAAATTTCATTTATGATAATAAAAAATTTCATATGAGTTTAGATTTTAGGGAATTTAACAGACATATATAGATATTGAGAACCTACTTTTACAAGACGTTTTCCATTTCTTTTTAATTAATTTATTTGAGATAGATTGATCATCAAAAAATGTCTTTTTACAAGATTTATTTCGATAGACGAAGAAGAAAATAAATTTTATTCTGCAGCTTTGGACCCCCTTGAAAAAAAGTAAAAAATTTGGCACAATTCATGTCAAAATTAATATATAAAATAAAAATTTAAATGTAATAGCATAAAAATAAATGAAACATCATAAAAACGTGGTTAAATATAAAACAAAGTACCTTATATTCTAAACAGTTAGAATCAAAATATAAATAAACTTTATATTTTTCATTGTAAGTACTTTAATGATGTACTCCAGTCAAAACTGGCTTTCAAACGATGATAAATAATTCATAAGAAAACCCTAGATTAGAAAATAAGTAGTAAACTTGTCATATTATAGCAAAAAATTACTTTGTGTTGAATTTATGTAGCAGTACAGTTCTTATTTAGAAAATCAATTAGAATTTTTTCTCAGCGAAACAATTCACATTTCATTAGCATGTTCTTGAATAACATGAATGTGAAAATTTAGTGTAACAGGACCAAAGGAATGAGGAGGATACACAATAGTTGTTTATTTGTTAGGTCTTGGAATATTAAAATTTTTCCCTAAGTTTAGTTGACTTAAAAATATATCTTATAGAGTAACATTGTACAAGTGCATAAACTTAATTTTTGGCAGATAAGCATGGAATTTTTAATTGGATTTTAAAGTAGAAAATTGCAGGTTCTGACTGAAAATTTAGGTCTTGTCTTTTTAGTATATTGTATTATTAGTATTTTCATGGATGATAAATTAATTTAATAAAAATTTTCATATTTATAACAAAACAGTTTGACTATTACATATCAACACAGACATCCAAATTAGTCCTACAATCTTTTTGAAATTGGTAAAATCAAAATTCATTGTTCATGAATTTTTTAAATTAAGTTTCAATTTGTATTTGATTTAGTACTGTGTTTATAAAGGTGATATCCAGTGGAGGGCACAAAGTGAAAGTAAAGCTCGCAGTGAGAGCAGGGTAGCCTCACTCCCACCTCAATCAGCACCTCCTCAAATAAATGGTAAAAAGACAGCTTGCAAAAAAAATTTTAAAGACAAATTTTTTGAACAATTTGTATCCAACTCATACCACTTGGTCAAAGATACCTCAATTATAATTCCAGCATGTCATTAATAAACAATAGAACCATCCGTTAATTTATGTTTATTTTTATTTCTTTAATTCCCCTGTATGATTCTTAGTTAAAATACCTTTTTCATAACAGAAAAAATCCTGTAAACAATTCACTCCTCAGTAATGAAGTTACAAACAAAACCATTCATTGACCAATTAATCTTATTATTTTATTTGATGTTGCCCAGTATACAAGCATTTCTAATCATTAAGTACTTGTGAATTAAACAAAAATTAAAATATTCCCCATTGATACTTATCTGTGGATATTTTGTAATAGATGGGGCTAGGGATGAAGTCTGATTTTTCCCAGGTACCCAAATTTATTTGCTAAATGTATGCTAATTTTATTTTGTTCAAATATTATTCGCTTTGCAGTAGCATTATATACTTTTTGTTATATAAGAATATGAATTTATGTTATTTTTGCATCAAACAATGGTAATTTAAGCTATCAGTTTTCTTTAAGATACTGTTAAGAGTTTCCAGTTTTATTTCAATTCTTATACAGGTCATTCTGTCTCAAAACTTTGAAAATTTCAAATTCATGATGACTTAGTAACTATGTTATGTTTAAAAGTATAATACAAAAAATAGTTTTAAAAGCAACTATAGACACTATCAGTAAAACTGTTGATGGGTTTGCATTGCAAAGTTTTATTATATCATTAACATTAACAATTATGTTTATATGATTAATGAGCCTAAATATTATAATTGTATATAAAAAAATTCAGGGATTTTCAAAAAAGAAAGTCACTCTGTGCTTTGCTAAGTTTTTGAAGAACTTGAAACTATTTCTAATGATTTTCACGGGTATCAAATATAAAAATCTACAATTGAGACAATTGCAATGTAGAATGGAAAGATGGTAGATCTTGTTTATTTTACTGACCCTTTTTACAACTTGTGCACTGCGACCAATATTGGTCTATTGTGCATCTCCATTTTGTTATCTAGAGCTCCTCGTTAAGCTTGTGGCTTTTTATGATGTTAGTTTCTATGATGGTCTTTTGATAAATTTTTTTGCGTTTCGCTGTTACATTCCCATTGAGCGAAGGACTTGTTATTAATCCACTGTCTAATGGATCCACGTTTTTGGCATATGGTATGCCACAAAAGGGTTCAGGGCCAATAGGTGTCCTTGACGAACTTTCCTTGGCCAATTTATTGTCCCTCTGCCCTGTGTAGCCTGGTACCCAGACCAGGGTAATTTTCTTGTGTTCCCCACTGGTGGAGTAATTGCCCTCAGTGCTGCTTGGCTGTCTGTCTATCCTCTTAAAAATACCTAACTTTTTAATTTCCTTGGCACAGTGTTCAATAGCTACAGCCGATCGTAAAACAATTGGCATATTGCACAAGACTTGTATTTGAATTTATATAATAATTTTTGTTTTATTTAAATAATTAGTTACTTCTAGATAATAAATTGATATAGCAAAGCAAGAATGAAAAGATAGTATAACATGTATTTTTAAATCTTTGCTACAGTAAACACATTTCTGTTGTGATAAAGTATGAACAATATTTACATAAATTCTTAAATAAACACATACATTTTTTAATTGTAAAAAGATTATACTCCCTTTCTTCTTTTTTAATTATTCCACTAGTTTTTATTTTCTTACGGAAGCTTTTGGACCAACACTCTCCCTTTTGTCCTATTTGGGAGATTTTAACCCTTTTGAGTAATGTTAAGATATCCCAAATAGAGCAAAAGCTGGATGAGGGGTTGAGTATTGGTTTGAAAGCTTTCACAAGAAAATAAAAACCAGCAGAAGAAGTCTAGAAAAATACTTGTACATCAAAAACTACCACCTTACATTCATACTGAACATATAAAACGATTACACATGTGAATTATTCATACAATTAATTTACTGTTTTGATATAGAATGACCGTTACATTGTACTTGATGTTGTTTCAGTTAATTGCATGCTTTGTCCACTTTTTTATTGTTAGAATTATCTATTATGTTACAGTTTTATTATACTTTACATGAAATTTTGTTCAATCGACATTTTAAAGATAATTTTCCAATAGCTCAATCGTGTTAAGACAATTTTCAGCGAGGTGAATCCTTGACTTTATTTGAACAAAAAACAAAACATTCTGGGGTTTATGAAGTGGTCTCTGAGTAGTATGAATAGTTTAATCAGGCATTACCTACAAACTAGTGGTTTTTTTACAGCTTATAATTAAATTTCAAACAACAAACAAGTTGACTGATTACAGTTAGGTTTTCACACAAACTAACGTAGGTTTTTTTATAGATTCTTAATGATTATGTTGTTTGGTTTTTTGTTTCATTTGTATTCCTGAGAAAAATTTATGAAACAAAAGCCAGATGAACAGAATTAACAAAGTATTAGCTAACACTTTCAAAAGGGTTACAGCTGATTTGTTAAGACTATTAACCAACATTTGTCTTTTTTTATTTTATTTTTTGTTGAACGATTTAGGAGAAATAACTGTTTTATTGTTAATCTTTTATATAGTTAGCCTAAATGATGGATTATTGCAAAAATCATATAAAATCTAAACACAATTTACATATATGAATGAAAATGTTTTATAAAATGTTGAATTATGTGCATGATTTGCATTCTTATGTTGTGCAATGATGAAATATTTATGAGTTTAGATAACTAAATCAAATTTAATTATACTTTTAAAGTCTGAAACTTTTTTAAGAAAACAAGCAAATGGATATATATATATATATTTTATTACTAACTTTCTAATGCAAAAGTTTTTTTTTTCTTTCCACTAAAATAAGAATAAAACAGTATTTTGTTGCAATCCACGTACTAGATTTCCAAAGATTTTGTTATCTGTAACACCTATTAACATTAGTTGAGATGTGGTAAAATAATACTTTTTACATTGTATTTATTTTATTTTATTAAATACCAAGATTTGAATCGATATTTTTATAATTACATTTTCTAGGGGGCTGTAAAATTACCGCTTATGCATTGTAAACTTAGGCATCTTTATTTGAATTCATAGAAATTATCCATGAAAGCAGTTATAAATACGGTAAGTTAGAAATTTATCAGTGGTGTTATTTGGGTGCATTCACAGTGTTTATCGTGTTAAGTTACAAAGTTCACTTTTTCTAATTTTATATATATTTTTTTTTAAAGAAAACACCTACATTTGCTGTTATATTTCGCTTTGTTTCATTTTGTCACTATTTTATATACATATTCATTGTCTGTTTTTATTGTGGGCAAATATTTGTTATTAACACAGTTGTTAAAAAATAACGCACAAAATAATTCTGATGTCAATGTGTTGTCTTTTTATTTTTAAATGCATCTTTACTTATGGACACCTGGTTTTTATGTTTTTTTGTTCTCTTATTCTTGTCCATATTTGATCACATATACGAAAAGAGTGACACACTAAGTCTTAATAAATAGCAATTATCCAGTAAATCCTCACTAATTGAAGTTTGAGAAAAGAATGTTCTGTCAAATGTTGTTCATGTTTGTTCAGTGCACGTGTTTTTTAAAGTTTATCAAATGTAAATAGTTTTATAGTATTGTCTCAACATGCCTGTCATATGGCAATAACTAAATTATTTGCAGAAAGATATTTTTTTTAACCCTCAACACCAGTTCGGTGAGCCGCATATGAGATATTTCATACTACTTTTGGCACAACCATTGTGGTTTTTTTTTAAATCTGACACCCAAAATCAAAGTCATCTTGATGTGTTGTTCCTCAAGATTCTACTTTAGATTTCAAATTATGGTCATTTCTTAAAAGTTAGAACGTGGCATTTGACAGTTTAAAGTATGTGTACACCAGACGCTCATGTGGCACAGGAGGCCAAAACTTTTTGCCTTTTGCTAATGCCTTGCTACTTTGTTAATCTTCTTGGATTAGGAAGTCTTCATTATGCCTTTACAATTTATAAAAATGCAAAACAAAAAAAGATCTAGTTGTCTACTGTAAAGATTCATGAAAATCTTTTTTTAATACATATTCTTAATGATGAGTTTACACTGTCTCATTTGGTTATGTCACGGAGTCAATTTATAGCTGTTAAAAGAGCCTTTTGATTGATGATCCTGATGTTTTTCTTCAACAGCGAGAATCTGATAGAGCAGCGGCTATGTCATATATTTTCGACGAACAAAAACTGCTAGTGTTTATAGCAAAACTGTTGATGATACACTTGTCCCATTTTAACAGAAATTGTGAATCCATCATTGATATGGATGAAAAGCCACCACATATTAACATTTTTAATTGCATGTACATTTTGGTAATGTTGAAAAATTTGCAAACACCGAACAATTTGATTGATTATTGATTTATATAAGCTCAAATCTGCACGGTACAGAGTTGAGCCTATCACTCGCAGTTCACCAGCAATTCCAACTTTTGTCATTTACAATAAATTACCAGGAGCCTCGAGAATCACCTACTCCGGGTATTGGCAGTCCGAAGTCAGACGGTCTCATCCATCCAGCCACAGAGGTAGGGCTCCAGGGGCTATCCAATAGCTAGGTCATTTCAGCCTCCAACACAATCAGTCCCTAAAACCAAACCGTTCACACTCTCACCACTCTTAAATACATTTTTTCTTATTTACATACCATTCGCTCAGTTAGGGTGGTGGAGTACAAAATATTCCATCACCTTTTACACCTATTATGTAACTAACCTAGTTGAGGATCAATGGGGTACTATTAGCTACAGCTATAGCTCAGTATAAACACCATCAGCCCTCTCAAATTACACATCACTCTCAACATACACTAGGGGATACAAAAATATCAATAGCATAAATAATAAAACAATCCTGTTTCCTCTAAAAATGAGCTGCTATGCTCAAACACAATTCTCATATTTGGTGGCATTCCTACACACTCTGTGTTTAGAGCCAAGGAATTGCACCCTTCACTTAAGTGGGACACATCAATCAACCTTTCTCTCCATACCAGATAAGTGGGCTTTCGCCCAAAAGTAAGTGTGCATGTCTCAACTTCAATAATTTGACCGAGTTGCTAAGTAAACTGTGTTTGTGAGCCCTGTGGCCTAGGCCAAGACAGTGGACCTGTGGCGTTAAGGGTTAAATATCATAATTATATCCACAAGTTAATTATACATTTTGAAAATGAACATATACTTATGTACAATGTTTAATGTTATAATTAATCCTTAAAATAAACTACACAATCAATTTAGAGAGGAAAATATTCAGTATTCTAAAATTACTCAATTTGTTCCTTATTTTATTGTACATACATTAAAATATGCACTAAATATCATCATATAAATATTTTTAATATGTTTGCCATATTTTTTTTTATTATTATTGGAACTTAATATTACAACTATTTTTGTTTTTGATTACAGATGAAAAGAGTGAGGCTGACAAAACAATAGGGGAACTACGCTGCTTGGAAGATCCCTCATTTTCTTTTGATGGTGATACAACTGGTGAAGACATTATGGATAAGGCAAATACAAGGTTTCATCACTATTGGGCAGCTAACGCACAAGAACCATCCCAACCATCCCAATAATTTCAAATGCCATAATAAATAAATAATTAATTAAATTAAATAAACATTTATATATATATATGTGTATGTGTTCATATATATTTATATATTTAACAATATATTTATATACAAACACATACGTACATACACGCTAATATTTCTTGTTTTATATAAACCCAAGAGATAGAACATAGTGTTTTGATATGTTAACAAATTGAGAGAAACAAAAATAGGTGACCTTTGAATATTCATAGTTTTTGATTTATATCAGAGCTGGTGTGTTAGGATTAAAAAAACAAAATTTAAAAAAAAAATTATACGAGACGTTGAGATATAGAATTTGTAAATGAAAAATTATTCCTGTATTTGGTGATGATTCATAATTGTTGACGTAATGTATTTATATTCCAAGTAAGTTGATTTTGTAGAGAGAAAAAAAATGTCTTCTGCACTCTATGCTTAACAACATCAATAGGGTTATACATCAGCAATTAAATTTTAATTATTTGGTATGCAAGTGAAAAAAAAGTCTGCATTTGTTTCCTTTAAAACTATTTAACTGTATTGGCCACAGGAAAAATTGTTGTGCATAGGTGTAACTTGTGTTTCAAATGCTGATTAATTGGTAAAAGTAATGGTGTCATAATAAGCGACTTGATCTATCACGAAGCAGATAAGCTTTAATGAATCGTCCATTAAAAAAGAATGAATAAAAAATTCCATATATTTTAGTGGTCGATACAATTTTTAAAAGGTTACTGAAATCCTTGTTTTTAATGTGATACTTTTATTATACCATATTTATTTTATAGAATAAATTTGCAAGTTTTAATTTCAACATCTGGCTAATTTATATTAAACTCCATTGTGACTCGGCGGTGGTTGAAATTACTTAACACTCCTTTCCAGAAAAATATCCCTTCTTTCATAACCCAAATCTTATTTACCATCTAGTCAAATAACAGGGAAATGGATTCAGAAATACATAAAACCATGCGTGTTTCTGACAATAATAGATAATCTAAACATAAACTAGCAAAAAATAAAAAATGAGCCTAGTTGAAAACTTTGAAATATGCAAATGTAACTTATTCAACAACAGAAAACTAATAAACACGCAAATAAATTTTATTATATGCACATCACTTATATAACAAGAAATACTGATTAACAGGCAAACCAGACAAGCTCAATTCTGCACAAGCATGTATCTGAGGTACTCAATATTCCACCATCCATCTTCCACTTTTTTCATTCACACTAATAAACACATTCAATCTCAGTACACACAAAACGAGAGATTTCTCAGTACTACATACAATAAAACACCCCTTGCTTGCTCAAGCACACTTTTCTAATGAGGTGTTATTCCTACACACCTTCTATATGGAATCAAGGAATGACCCCCAATTAAGCAGGACAGATCGAGCAATCTTTCTCTAAATGCCTGACTTTTTTACAATGGATACCAGGGACTGGAGGAGTTCCCTCCTGAGCACTGCAGCTGAGCTGTACAGCTTATTGTACTTTATCCCTGGCTCCATATTTTNTCTGGTAAAATACCCATTATGAAGAGGTGTCTTCTCAAGGGGCAATGGCCCGTCAGGATACCTATCAGCCTCCTAATTCCCCTCCTTGAGTTAGAGAATAGCCTTCTTTTGGTTTGATCTCCTTCACAAACTCCTTCGATTGCCTATGTCCGGGGGACAGATTCCATTCTTTTAGGAATTGTTTCATGCCCCAGCTATTAATACTCTCTTTTGCTGTGCTTATAGAGTGAGGTAATACCGGTTGTGGCCCGACATATTTGAGCCTTCTTTGGCCAGGCTATCCATCTTTTCATTGGCATAGTGTCCTTTATGTGCTGGTATCCAAATGAGGGTTACCCTATTCTCGTACCTGGTAGTGATCCTATTAATAAGTTCAACAGTTTCCTCCACCAGCTTAGATGTTGATAGCTCTTTATGTAGTGACTTAAGACTGGCCTCACTGTCGGAAAAAATTCTAATATCTTTTCCCTTGATCTTGTTATCCATAAGTGTTCTGCAGCAAACATTAATGGCCCATATGTCCACCTGAAAAACGGAGGTGTTATTACCATGAGGGGAGGAGATGCTGATCCCTTATTTAGGTATATTTATTCCAGCACCGCTACCCTTGCCTTTAATGAGTGAGCCATCGGTAAAACAGTCTAGGCTACGATGGTCATCGTCCGCGCTGTAGTTATATTCACGCGGAGTAACTACCTAGAAGTATTTTTTCCCTAAAGGGGTTTTAACCTTTTTATCGCTAACACTTAATAGTTGGCCATTGACCTTACTCAATAATTGTAGGATTTTCGAGTGACCTATGTTGTTTCCCTTATGGTTCCAACTGCCTTCACTAATTAATCTATAGCAGCTGGTTAGTGCTCTGACCTTAACCTCTATGTGTAGAGGTGTAGTATTAGTTATAATCTCAAGTGCTAGGGTGGGTGTAGTGGAAAATGCTCCCGTCATCATCAAACAACCTAGTCTTTGAAATGACCTTAATTTGTTAATATTCCCTTTATTTTCTAGCCCTTTCCACCATACTGGGCTGCGAATAGAAATCTAGGAAGTATAATTGCGGTATATATCCATTTGGCCATCTATGGTTTGACACCCCATGTTTTGCCAACAATTCTCCTACATTGCACCATAGATAATGTGGCCTTTCCAATCAAGTTTCCTGTCAAGCGTCACCCCGAGGAATTTGATTGAATCCCTTAATTTTAATTCGATGCCCTGAAATTTAGGGTTTTTGAAATTACCTAGTGTTCTTCCCGTACTAAGTTCCAGTTTAGCTGGATTAATTGAAAGACCTCTATCACAACATCACTCAGAAAGCAACCCCATAGCGTCCTTCATCAGCAGTGAAAGAGTCAGGGGATCTCTGCCCGTGATCATTATGGTAACATCATCTGAAAATAATTGGCTGTAGAAACCTGAATTAGTCAAAAGTTCTATTAAACTGTTTACTGTGATTAACCATAAAAGAGGGGATAAGCAGCCTCCCTGTGGACAGCCTCCTGTGACATTGATTCTAAGAATGCAACTACCTAAGCACATATTTACCATCCGTCCCTTCAGGTAGGTTTCACCCATCCTGTGAGATGTTGGTCTACTATTTAGTGCTGATATAATGCGAGAAGTGTCTGCATTACCAAACGCCCCTTGGATATCAAAGAAGCACCCTAATGTGTATTCATTATTGAGTAATGGTTTCTCTATCCTTCCTACCAGTGAATGCAAAGCAGTTTCCACTGATTTTCCTGGTAAATAGGCATGCTGATTGGGATGTATCATGGTATTAATTCCACAGTCATGTCTAATGTATTTATCTAGGATTTTCTCTATTATTTTGATGAAAATACAAGATATACCTGGTTTGGGTAAGAAAATTACCCTTATTTCCTTCCAGCATTTTGGTATGTGTCCCAATGCCAGGCTACTCCTTAGGAGATCCCAAACTGTACTAGATAGACTAGGTGTATCCTGTTGTAGGAGGGCAGGGAATATTCCATCCATCCCGGCTGCCTTGAACTTCTTGAATGTACCGCCCATTTGTAGGCCTCCCAAGAGATTACCTCATATGCCTTAATCCAGTTTGGTACAGGTGGTTCTTCCTTGGTTAGAGTATCGGAGGAGTCTGACCTGGGGAAATAAGCCCTGGCCATTAGGTTCAATGTCTCCTCGCTAGATGTGGTATACTCCCCATTTTCATCCTGTAATAAACCTAGAGGATTAATGTAATCTTTTTCCAAGAGTTTGAAAATTCGAGCACTTTCCTTAATATTCTCTGTCTTCAGACAATATTCCCTCCAGGCTTTACGTTTAGTTTTCCTCAACTCTTTTTTGTATTCTTTTTTCGAGGAGAGATATTCCCTCCAATGCTGTTCAGAGTTCCCCTGCAGGGCTTTCTTGTGTGAAACTCTGACCCTTTTCCTCAATCCCTTACACATATTACAAAAAACTAATCTAATTGAGGATCGATGGGGCACTCAATATTGCACCATTGGACCTCCTTCACTTCACCTTCTCACTAATAAATACATTCAAACTCAACACACACAAAATGAATTTTATCAGTAGTAAATACATACAATAAAAAATAGCCCTGTTTCATCCAAAAATCGGAATAGGTGACTCAAATGGTCATCCTGCACGCTCCCTATATGGAGCCAAAGCCAAATACCCTTCAATTAAGTGGAGACAAATAGAGCAAACTTCCTCTACATGCCGGACAAGTGAGCTTTGCCTCAAAAGTAAATATTCTTTAGCCTCACACGGCCTATTTTTAGGCGAGTAAAGATGTTTATGTTTCAGACAAAATAAATATTTTTATTAATAATACACCCAATTGGTAAATAATTACAACTTTATTTATAAATACTTGTATACATTAAAAAGTGTTTTTATAAAACTAATAGAAGTATATAATATTTTTTTTTATCCACAATGATGATAATCATAATTTTAAAGGAAGAAAACAAAATTAATAGTTTAATTATTTTATTAAACAAGTTGAAATGTTAAAGCTCCATGTTGATCGCTCACTTGTTTATATACACTGTAGTAAACATAGAATCTGATCTTATTTGGTTTCAGTTACATTAATCACACATAACTAGGATTATATTAAAACAATTTTTTTTTTAAACCGCACTTTCACAAACATTATTGACGATAGGGTATTTAAAAAATATATTTATTCCATGTTTCATACTTAACAGTCTTCTATCGGAGCCATTGTCGCTTCAACAAGCAAATTGAAATCCAATTCAGCCAAACTTGCTGTAATAATAAAACTTGTTATGTCTTATAAAACAAAATGGTAATTAAATAATATTACCTTTAGCTGTTAGCAAGTCCAAAAATGTATCAAGTGGTGAATATATATCCGAGGAATGAAATGTATGCGCTGAAGGGCCTAAAAGACAATGATAAGGCAAAATAAAATATTAACAGTCAATAAGGATAAAATTAGTTGAAACATATTTAATAAATAATTGTTATTACGTACTGTACATGTTAATTTTATGCATATATTGGGGACAAAGGATCAATAAAAAATTGCAATTTCAAAGACGGTTTTTTATATTGATCTCAAGGCATATAATAGGACGTCGAGATATGTAATAATTTGGAAATGTCGGGACCTCGGAATCAGAAGTTAATTACCTTGCTTCCTCGAGACTTTCCTGAGGAACTGAAAAGAGTCCCTCAGGGTTCAGTGATAAGCATTATATTTTTCTTGATTGCAGAGAATGGTATCGCTGATGGTGTCCCCCAACCAATCGACGATTACTGTACGTCGATGACCTCTGCTTTTGCCTTTCGGGGAAAGACCTAGCAGATGTCAAAGGGGTGATGCAGTCAGCGATATACATTGTGGCTGCTAAAGTCGAAGAAACTGGATTTGCCCTCTCTGCGTCAAAAACCACGTGCGTCCACTTTGCTGCACGCCTCCTTGTCTGAGGTGCGCCGCCATAAAATACGTAGAGTCAACAAGGTTCTCGGCCTCACATTTGATCAAACGTTAAGTCGGCAGCCACACAGTGATGCTGTCGAGGTGAACGTAAGAAAAGTTATAACACTTTTAAATTTTGTCAGTCACTTCAGGTGAGAGTAGACAGATAGCCCCTCTTAAAAATGTTTGACTCATTGCTGTGCTCGACCTTATTTTATGGTTGCATGGACTATTCTTCAGCCCAAAAAACACGCCTGCAGAGGCTCAATAGGCTTTACTATCTGGCTTTCAAATGGGATACAGCTAGCTTAGAATAAGCATGTGCTGTGAGCAGGGGGGAGGGTACTTCAGAGAGAGATCAACTGTGAGCAACATACATGTGCAGATTTGAGCTTGGGTTTGTTGGGTTTATTTTTTTATGTATATATTTTATTTAGGCAGATAGGTATACTTTACATAGTTTTACTATGTAATTTTACACTGGACTGGAAATGACGTTACAACATCAAGAGATTAATTATTACAATACATAAATACCTGTAGTTAAATTTGTTTTATGGCGATGTGTTCTAGTTTCTAATCCTGATAGTATATTCATAGCATGCTCTCTAGCGCGTATCATTAAGCTCATTGGGTGGGCCCACTGATTTAACAACCGTCGAGCGCGGGACCGAGGGAGTAGAAGAAGTAACTTTAATTTCTTCCTAACGCCTTCTTTCGAATCGCCTAGATCTGTTGAAAAATATATCTTTACAAATTAATTTTCGATACTTGTTAAAACACTCATACCTGGAAGAATTATCTTCATAACATCAATCTGTAATTGCAAAGCATTCGCTTGTATGTACTGGAAGAACTTATCAAAATTCATACTCCGATAAGCCAAATATGTAAAAAACGAGGAAAACCCCTGGGGCAAGGGGTACGCCATGAAATCCACTGCCAGCGAATACCGTTCCAGTACAAAGAAAAGCATCTTTCTCTTGAGCAAGGGTAAATCATTTCTACAAATCATAAATTTTTATATTATAATGTCATGTAACTTACAAACTAACATTAACCCTGAGCAATGTTATTTTTCAACCAATAGCACAACCATCAATTAACGTGATTTACATTTTAAATTGTAATACTGGCAAAAATTCCAATACAAAAACATGCAATGTTTTTTTGTAAGAACAGCCTTTTTCTTTCATTCTTTTTGTGAATTTTGGTAGAATTCAATGCAATTTTTTTTAAATTAATTATTTTATATGTACCCTTTACATATTAGAAATGCAATCACTAACCCTAATGCCAACACTGCACCCAGAGGACACGTGTCATGAGAAACCAGCCAGTTTCTGGGTTGGCTTGGGCACTCAATGTTGATTATTTCATTGTATGTACATATTATATATTACTGTCAGTGACAGGGCAACTATAGCGTCAACAAAATACAGATTGCTTAGCATAAATCACAGGCTTATAACAATTTTTAGAAAGGGGGAAAAAAATAGTTCAACAACCACTAGAAACAACACTGTTGAGTTTGTCAAACACTAACATACAATAGAATATCACAGTTGGCAGAACTTCAGACCAGTTCATTTCATTAATCAAAATTTTCATCAGCCATCAGCATAGAGGGCCAACCTGCACTTCTTGTATACAGGTTAAGCATTGAAGAACAGATTAAACAAAATGGGGCCCAGGATTGATCCTTGGTGGAATCCAGCCATGATTTAGTCGCATTGTTATGCGACCCACAAAAGTTTCTGTTTTTCAGGTACAAGTGAAAAACTTTTATTTGATAAGTTGGAAATTTATATTTCATTAGCCAGCATATGACTCCCTTGTGCCAGACAATGACAAAAACCATTTCAGTGTGCATCTTTTTATTGTTTTAATAATTCTCCATTATGCTGTCCACTACACGGGTAAGCTGACCTCAGTGCTGAGTTCAGGCCGGATTCAAATTGTTCCTCTTTCATTATTCTGGATTGAGCATTATGAGCTTCCAAGCATGTTTGGAGCACACGTTCAAATATTTTGCTAAAATTGCTCAGTAGACTGATTGGCCTGTAGTAGCTTGATTGGGTGCCATGGGGATTACCTGCTTTCTTTAGGAATGTTATTTTTAAAACATTCCGGTGGTTTGGAAAATAATCAAAAGTATTTGGTTGAAAATGTAAGTTAGTAGTACTAAAACTTCTTGCGGAAGATGCTTTAAAAGAATATTGGAAACACCATTATGGCCCAGAGCATTGTTATTTCTTCTTGCTTTTATGACTCTGGTCAATTCACTTGGTGATGTGAGGAGACAGTAGAATTCTTGGTATACTGGTCAACGGAGCACTGTACATGTAGATCGTGAGAAGCTGAACCAAGACCTTTCATTGTCTCATGCACTTGTTTGAAGTAACTACCCATCATTCCAGCTTTCTCAGTGTCTGCTGTGCAGGTGATTCCATTTAAGGTAATTGGTGGGGGGTTTGTCTCCTTTTGTTTTCTAAAATGCTTAACAGCTTTCTATGGAATTATTGGTGTTATTGATGTTGGAAGTAGCTTGGATAGGATTGGAGTTAGAGGACAAAATCGCAGTATCATCCACATAATGATTATGGTATTATTTGTAGGTAGGTCAGCAATATAAATGATATAAGAGATAGGGCCAAGAACGCTCCCCTATGGGACACCAGTTTGTAGCCCAAACTAATAATGTAGGGGTTAATTTATACAACAGTAAAGGTTTACTCTTTTTCTTCTCTAATTATTTTATTTATTTTAAGTAAACTACTATCCAGAAAGACAGTAAAATATTGGATATATGAAAAAGAAAGTGAGAAATGTCTGGGGGTCAGATGTGATAATTTAGGCTGTATTCATTTAAAAACATAACAAAAACACGGTATAAAAAATTAATTATTTTGCACGTTTTCACATTGTCTTACAACCTGTTCACCACACATGCACACTCAATAAATATATAAATGAATTTGAGTAAAATACAACATGCAACTTTTTTTTTTTTTCAAATATGACAAAAAGATCACCTTAATCCAAGGAAAAATGTTTTAAACCACAGTACAAATTTTTAATTATAGCTATATTAATCTTTGCATGCATAGTTTAAGCTAAAACAAAACATTTAAGAATCAAGCTGATCATGCCTAAATATAAATTATAATATAAATTTACTGATGCATGTCAACAGAATAACATGTAAAAATATTAGCTGAGCTCAATTTACTAAAGTGATCATGAAGTCCTTTTGATGAGTAGTGAATTAATTTGTTTTTAGATCAAAAAGCATGAAATAACCTATGAGTTACGACTAAAAATGACCACTAGTACATAACTAACATAATGCACTACTAAGAAATCAAATTTAAGCCAGTCTTAGTAAACGTTAGAATAAGTAAGTTAGGAATGGTATAAGTTAAAAATAATTATAATAAGAATTATAAACATATTATTCTTATGGGGATGTAAATCAGTTCCGGTTGCATGAGTTCACCAGCAGCCAATACCCAGCATTAACTCAAACGCACCCAATCAGATTAGGTTACTTAAAAGGTATGTACATAAAACTAACAAACTATACAATACTACACACACAAGTGAAGACGGACCCTGTAAATGACCCTGCCGGTTCAGCATGAGTACACCGACTTGCAAACCAACACCTAGCATCAATAAATATTTAGATTATAATGTGCATGTGCTGCAGACTGACCTAGTTGTTAATAGCGACAGAGAAAAATTTGTGGGCAGAACATATGACACAAACTACAATCAATATTTGAATGATGGGGCAAAAAATGGAGGATCTGGCATTGGGATGACTTTGAGAACATAACAAATTGATTATAACATAATGTAAAATAAAATCATCAATAACTCATTCACATGTAAATTTAAAAAAAAATTCAAACAATTTCAACAAGCAAATTAATTAAAGAACAAAAATGCATAAACCACTCAATAAACAAGAATAACATGAACAAAATCACATGTGAAATGTATCAAAATTTACTGCTTACATGAGTTGAAAACCTTTTACATGTTGAATTGATACACCAACTGCACTTGTAACTAAACTACATAAAAATCTTGACATTTCCAGCTGTGCAGCGGCATATCGAGTCGCAACGACATGTACTTGCAAAGGGTTGTCTAGCCCCAGTTTCACTAAATGAATACTTAATTCCCGCAAATTCTAAAAAAAGGAAATTTACACATACTTTCCTGTACTCTGAATCGTGAAATAATTGCCCGAATGCATCAAGTTTTGAATTTAAAATTTTATCATTAGTATTTACATTTGAAAAACATTACCACAGAGATGACATGCTCCTGTTTCGAAGCAGTGCACTTTTCCACCTCATAAAATGGAAGAACGGGTTTAACTCTATAATTTCCCACACTGGTCATTTCAGCAAGAGTTGTGTTTACTGACAAACTACTTCCTGGACTTAGTGGAGTGCTACATCTCGAGAGAGCTTCAGGCTAAAATTGTATTTATAGAAATATTAGAATTTCAATTGAAGTATTTCAATAACAAACACTAAAGTTTAAATATTAAATCAATGTAACAACCGTGTTAGAATTAGACCTCTAAAATGATGAAAATAAATGTGAATACACCTTTAATTTCGACCACACCAAACTTTTATAAACCCAAAAAAACATTAGAATGTGGTAGCTGAGTGATTAGGGTCAGATCTCAGCTCGTGGACTTAGCAGTCGTGGGTTCAATTCCCACCACTGCTCCTGGAATTTCTGACCGCTCCTCCTCTCCCCAAAATTATGTTCATTACACTTAGACTTGTTTGCCTATGGTATATACAATGCCATAAAAAATTGAACGAAGTGAACAATTTTGGCAAGTTGATGTATAAAATTATTTTAATATTACTGTTAATGCCCTGAGATGTTGTTGGGGCGTTTTTCGAGACCTTATGGGTTTTGTGTGAACTTTGTTTTTTCTTCCGCCGGACCCAGGCCTCGCTCGAATCAGATTCTTGATTGTTTTCAGCTGTTCTCTTACGCGGTCCCCTTGTGAGCTATTCTCTAGTGACATATTTCTCTCTATCTGAAGTCCATGCAATTGAACGGTAAAACGAAGGGTACAAAAACAAGAATACAACTATCATATCAGATAGTTGAGCAGCCATCAAAGCACTAAGCTAAAACATCATTAGCTCAAAGATGGTGCTGAATTGCAGAACTAAACTAAATATATTAGGTATGCAAAGTCACCCTCTGCTGTGTCCAGGACATCTGGGATTAGAGAGCAGCCACCCTTGCAAGGAAAGCGGCAGCTATATTTCTGATAGGTCCTCATCCCTTCTCTGTGGCACAGAGATTCACATATCAATGAGTATCTTAGACAAATGAAAATGAGGAAACAGCGGAATTCACTCATAGGACATAAACAACCCAAGAACCCTCTAGCAAGGTTTTGATGAAAGAAATGCATGATGCATCAAAGGAAAGGCAAAAACTTCGAATCCTGATATGATTCTTAACAGGATACCGAATGGACATTTGAAGAAGATTGGCATAATCCAACCCGACACGTGCAGATTCTGCAAAGAAGCAGAGGACAGTAATACACCTAACAAATATGCCACTACATTTGCTCACAGGAGGAAGTGTTTTGAGATGTACAACTTAACCGTAGAAGGAATTTTTTTTGTTTATTCGGCACTACCGCCAAAACAATTATAATATTATAATTTTGAAGAGTTGGTTTATAAGATTCCAAAGAGGTGATGAATTAAAGTTCAGAGAGGAGAGAAAAGTAGAACTTTGCAAGGTGCTATTGAGACCAATTCTACAAAAAAAGCTGTGTCAACTGTCAAACCAACAAAATTTGTTACATCTGTATTTTTATTTTATTTAATGAGTTTGTGGCTGAGGCATTCTGTCAATTCCAAGCTCTAGTACTCAACATTTAACCAACGTTTTGAGGAGGAAATGCCTGGTTTTGGTGAACCAATAATCTTGATTTGATAAGACAATGCCCAACAACAAGCAAATATTTACCAAAACGATGATACTGGCTTTTCTATTCTATCCAACTTCTGAATGTGCTCCTTCAGGCTACTTGTAAGCAATGGCTCGCTTATAAAATGGATAAACTTTTATACATTGAAATATGTAAAAACTAGAGAAAAAGATTTTATTTTGGAAGGGTGTAGCAGGTCTAGAAGATTTTTTAACCTCATTATGTTATTTTTACCTAAACAATTTAAAGAGCTTGGTCTTCCTTTACCATCAAAATATTAGATCTGTAATTTATAAAATAAAAAACAGTAATACTAATCCTGGAAGGGAGTAATAAAGCAAGAATAATCAACCGACATGAACAGTTTTTGTCGTATATTGTTTTCAGTATTATTCAGGATTTATCTTGAAATGAAGCAGTTTTTTCATAAGAAATTGTTTGTTACTTTTACATTAAAGCACTTGTGTTTAATAGTGTTTTATATAACACTTTGATGCCAGTAATGAGCATAAAAATGATTATTAAAGCATTGCTGAAGACACTCCAGCAGATGGTCTTTTCCATGCTGTTATAGCTTGCTAACAAAATCTATACTGTAAAATATTGTAAAACGTTGAAATAATAAATAAAGCATTATTATTATTATTATTATTGCTGAAGGAACTCTTAACACTGACATATGGCAGAATCTTTGCTGAGAATATTTAAACTCGAGAAAAGTTATTGTTAAACGAAAATGTGAATTTATATAGAAAAGAAAGCACTGATATTTAGATGCTTAAAATTAAAGCTCAGAAATGAACAGCCAGATGAATGAGTTAGACTTTAATTAATTAATTGAATAAAACTTAATTAAAACACAATATTTTAAAAATAAAGGGTGGATATCAAATTAACAGTAATTTGCAGTTTACCTGATAACATATAAGAGACACCATCAGTTTATCAGCGACCATCGTTGGCTTAAACCTCGAAATGCCTGCCGTCTCAGCGATAAGATCCCAAAGTTTGGTCCACAGATCTATTCTAAACTGACACAACCTTTGTCGGGGTGATAATAACATCACAGAAGGATTCCAGAGGGCTTCTTGCGTTAAGCTCAATGCTCTACCATCTAACTTTAGAAGAAAAAATAAATAAATAAAAGTACATTCATAACAATGATGTTTCTGGGTCTTACTTTCACTTCCATGGATGCAAACTTATTTACAGTTGTTAAGGGCAAAAACCGCATCATTTTAACTCCGTCTGATGGAAGATTTTTACAAACAGAAGCATAAGCACCACCAATAAGGATTTCATGGAATATTTCTTGTGCAGTATTATTCAAGCAATCATCAGTGATATTGTTCAACAGCTGCAGAATCGAATAAATGTAAAGCATAACCGATAAACAGGGAAAAACAAACTCTCACCTCTCCAATTATGTCAAAATCGTATCTATGAACAAGGAAATAGTGTATAATCGATAGTTTATTGGCTAAGCCAGAATTTGGGTCAAAATAGGTTTCCAATAATAATTTATTGCAAATGGCCAGATTGAATGTGTGAAGTGATTGAACATTTACAAGAGTTATTCCATTTTCATAGTCTTTTAAACACAACCAGTGTTCATTGTTGGGAATTTCGTGGCTGAGAAGAATATGACAGCAAGGCTCATGACAAGGTCCAAGATCCAATAAGTGCACAAATAATCCAGGCATATACACCAACAAATAATCGTCTGTGAAAATTTTAAAATGCGTAAATGTTTTCAAAAGATTTTCATAATTGAATTATACAAATGTACCTTTATGTAATGCAAATATCGGTTTCAAATCGCTTGCCTGGGCCCATGGAATTCCTGGCAATGTACAATGAATCACTAAACCGTGATGCAATAAGGTGACAGAATAGGCTAAATGTACGGTCGTGATTTCTGACAAATTTTCATTCACCTTCGGAGCACTTACGGGCTGAAAAACAGAAATTGTGACGTAATCACAAGTGAAATTTCACCAATTCTAATATGCACTTTCAAGTAAAATGTATTCATGACAAAATTACCATTGATGAATTTCAATCAATATACTAAATTAATAAAATAGGCGATGGAATGTTTTAAGGACATTTGTAATGTGATGCTTCCAAACTTAACAGACTGATTGTCATTAATATCATTTAGTTAAAAGTAGAAAGCAGACAAATCATACAGCTCTAAAGTTTTTCCTGTGCGTCAGAGTGTAGTACAGGGAGATATTCTAAGCCCCTTCTTTTTATTATATTCATATCTGATCTAGATGTTTTTGATCAGAAGCAGTAAAGCAAAAAATATCCCCATTAACAGCTAAAAAGACATCATTAGTCTGTTGTATACAGATGGCATCATCTTTGAAAATAATTGGATAGGTGCACAATACAAATTGAAACTATTAGAAGAATATGTGACAAGTTGCCCTGACTGTCAATGTAAAACTATTGTGCTCCCCTTTCATAAATGCAGACGACTAGGCAATCAACTTAAATACAATAATTCTATTGTCCAAATCACAATTACATATGTGTGCCATTGTTGGTGCCAGCCATCTCATTTTTAAATATACTTAGTTTTGGATTATTGTAATCCCTAATCCTCCCACGCTCCTTGCAAACCCAGTCCTGTTCTACTCCTATGATAGAAAGGTCCTCACGTCTCTCTTTTCTCATGCTTTTTTCTCCTGTATTAATAAAAAAAGTCTTTAATCACGCGACCACGAAAAAACCCTCTGTGCTGCATCGATCTCTTCCACCTGAATTCATTGGATATTCTGCGACGAAGTCAGAGGAATCGGCCCCGAGCTCCCTACGCTTCTTGCAGCCGGCATCTGAAGGAAGGTGGAAAGTCCCCTATGAATTTCTCCCTTGTTTTATTTTTTTTTTTTTTTTTTTTTTTTTTTTTTTTTTTTTTTTTTTTTTTTTTTTTTTTTTTTTTTTTTTTTTTTACACGGCATTGGCTGTAACAGCCATTGTCTCTAACAGCTAAATTCATTGGGAACAGCAAATACTTTCTCTTTAAATGTGAAACTGCATAAAATTATGAAAACCTTGATTCCATATAAATGGGACAGCTGGGAATCAAAGTTAATTAATTGGAATCAATATCAGACAGTACTTTATTGCAGTTATCTGAAATTTGGGGCTCTGAATATGCAAAGATTCAAGAAAGGCCAGTATATTTTTTTAACGTTTCTGCACCCACCTGTCACTACCCCAAATCATTATATGCAACTTGAATATGGACTATTATATCTTCTATACAAAATATTTAAACGCATGATTAACTGGTGGATGTGCTTCTTGGAAATGACTTAAAACCAACTATCTAAAATATGCTACTATCATATACTCCCTGATAGATTTATGTGAAATCTTTAGTATGCCATTCAACTAGATTATGCGTCTCCGTAAATATCTAAAAATTATCTGATCAGAAGACTTTTGGTTTTGCCAAAACTAGCAAATGATCAGGTAGCATTTCAAGACTACTGGAGAAATTTGAAAACCACCTGTTTAGCAAAGATGTAGAAGTAGCAAAGAATTCCTGCTTTTAACGTTTTTTTAAAGCAACATCTGTTCATTTGGTCGAAGTTAGCTCTACTTAATATCAAGAAACAGAATAATAGCTCAAATAAGATTATCTGGAAAATGATGAACTGAGCTTTTCTAATGGATTGCAAGCTCTTGACTGTATGAATCCCTCAGCTTATGGAAATTAGCATTATGAACTTATAATTCTAATTGTCTAGCAAGATTAACAAGTTCTTCTAGGGTAATCAACTTGGTCAGACTTGGAAGTGTTTTCTCACTGCAAAATAAAATGAAAACAGCAAAATGAGAAAGTCATAAACCATGTAACTTGGAATTTGCACAAGTTCGAGTATTACTGTTTTATATTCATCACGAAAAAGATTTAATTTCCTACTGAAAAAAAAAAAAATATTTGTATGTCTAATTTTTTTAAAATATAAAATTGACAATAAAAACTTACTTGATACAAGTAGTGATGGCAGATGCAAACAACACCCCTATCATCACAAAGTACAGTTACATCGAGGGCACAATCATGAACTCTCAAAGGTATTGGAATGTCATCGTATGTGTTGCTTGAAGCTTCTATTTCTAATACGGGCGGTGGTAAATTCAGAGGTATGTTCAGCTGAAAATTTAACAAACTTAGCTGTTTTGGTTATAGACAATATTTTATTCTTCCGCCATACTTGGTCATTTATAATTTTGGTCTGCGTCTGACAAACCAACAGTAAAAACGATACAAATTGCATAGATTGTAAAAAAGAAAAACAATATTTCCAACTGAAGCAATTAGAAATCATGTGTGATATATCCACTGTTTCTTCCTGGCAATATCTGCGTAGACTTGTTTCTACTATACGCCATATATATTTATACAGTGATATAAAGAAATTTACTAGGGGGACCACGGTAGCTTGTAGACCCCGCAGTCGTGGGTTCAATTCCCACAATCGCCCCTGGCCATTTTTCACGCTACCCTTCACCCAAGCTATGATGAAACAGCATATGGACTTGCTAATTTACATGTTCATAAGGCAATTAAAACAATAATCATACCACTGTTTCATGTGGTGTCGAATCATTGAACTGGAAAGCTGATAGAGTCGGAGATTGTGTGTTCTGTTCATTACTGTCTCCTTCAACCCTCACTGAAGACTTTCTATAATGAATGTAGAAAAGAGATTGATATGTAGCATCCCACTGAGCCCACGAAAAAGCTTTCACCACTGTTTCTGCAAGCTCACTTCTAATATGCTGTAAAAATAGAAACTGATTTATACATTTTTAATTTAGGATAAAAATATGTTTATATAAAGTTAAGACTATATCAAATGCCACAAATACTCATATATTTTAACTCCCCATTAAAAAATGTCTACCACAAAAGAGTTACAGCGTTCAAAACTTATACATACCTTTGTATTCGAAGTTGAGGGGCCTGTTGGTTGAAAATAGGTTAGCCTATAAAGTGATATACCTGAAAATATTTAAACATAAAAAAACTTTAAATTCCTTTCATAAAATTTAAAAATAAATTTTAAATTTAACTCGTGATATCTTTCAATAAATATTGGTAAAGAAGAAATACACTCAAAAACAAGAAATCAGACATTTGTATTTTGTTTATTTCATACCAGGATTATTTGGAGTTCGTGAGGTGCGGTCTGGTGTGACGTAGGTTTTAGAAAAACATTTTCTTTATACTGCCAACGTTTCGATCTTTAATTATTCAGAAATCATGAGATGTGGTCTGGTGTGATGTAGGTTTCAGAAAAACATTTTCTTTATCGTGCCAACGTTTCGATCTTTATTGAGATCATCTTCAGGGCCTGGGATTTATTATAAACATTGTTTAAATTTTACAAATACATGTAAGATGTGAAAAAAATGAATTGATACAATGCTAAAAAATTTTAGATTCAAAGTATTTGCACTCACTCATTTTTTTTAAATCTAAAAAGCTAGCCTTGTATAAATTCATTTTTTTTTCACCTCCTACATATATTTGCAAAATTTAAACAATGTTTATAAATCCCAGGCCCTGAAGATGATCTCAACAAAGATGAAACGTTGGCATGATAAAGAAAATGTTTTTCTAAAACCTACGTCACACCAGACCGCATCTCACGAATTCCGAATAATCATTGGTTAATGGTCACTAAACACTACATATTTCATACTATACTTATTTTTAACATTATATTAATTACAACATACTTATTTTAATGTAAACCAAATTAAATGAGATCAGAAATTTACGAGTGCATGAACTAATTGTCCAAACCTGCGTTCCTCTCGTACTAAGCAGGATTACTACAGCAATGACGTGTCATAAGAAGGGTAAAACTAACTTGTCTCACGACGGTCTAAATCCAGCTCACGTTTCCTATTGGCAGGTGAACAACCAATTATGATGGTTTGAAAGAATTCACCAAAACACTGGAAAATCATTTAGTGATAGATTAAAATTCAACTAACAATTTCTTACCTCATTTTGCTCTTAATAACATGTATTACCTCCCCTGGCCTAGCGGAGGGTCTGAAATAGGCATCAAGTATGAAGCTGTTCAACGCTTGTTGGGGGCAGGGAATGATGTCTAACCCATCCCTTTATCATGTCCCATAACTATTCTACAGGTATCATGTCAGGAGAACGTACCCAATTCATTGTGGTAATACCTAGAGCCTCCATGTAATGTTCATACTCATGCATATTACTTGAGCTATGATCGAGCATTAACATGAAGTTGTCGAGTTGGGACCACAGCTTCAAAAAGAACTTCTTCGATGTAACTTAGTGCAACTAAAGATCCATTCTGTACGATAATCAATTTGGTATGGGCATGGACGTCGATTCCACCCCATACAACTGCCTCTCTTTGCAAAGGTTATGACATATGCATGAAAGTGTTCTCCAAGTCTTCTTCATAAATAGTCATGGTCATCTGATTGCCATAAACCAAACTGTCATCTGTAAAGAGAACAGCCCCCCCCATTGTTCTAGTGTCCAAGCAAGATGCTGATTTGCAAATAGGTGCCATTCTACTCGATGCCTCTCCAGTGCCGGGACATCTAGCAACTAGGCTATTCTCATAAAGGCTTCTGGTTACTGTTTTATAGCTCAACCTTACATTATGAACCGTTTGGAGTTGACTGCTGACAGTTCTGTAGTACAGGAAGAACAATAAAAACCATCATCTCTAGCCATCATACATCAAAGTCAACCCCTACCTTCTCTCAGATCAAGACTTCTAGTGGTCCTAAACCACATTATACCATCACGGTAGTATGCAGCACACCCAGGACTTGGGATATGTAATGGGCACTTTGTCCATTGTTGGCCAAAAACATCTGCCTCGGTGAGATCTTCTCAACTTAAAACCATGCTTTAAGAAAAAAATTTTCTTTTTTACTCAAATTTATTGTTCTAATAAAGAAAACCATTAACTCACTCGACAAGTTGACCAGTTATAGAATTAGAAAATAAATAAATAAATACAAGTGTCTGTTGCTGTGTCTTTGAGTGTACAATACATGTTAAAATCAACTAAAAACATTGAAGCATACAATTCATATTACTTTGGTGTATACTTACAGTCGTGATGAACAAACACCAAAAACCGATCAAGATCCGCAGACTGTTTGCTTCTGTACAAAAACTGTGCCATTATTTGATGGGGACTTTCAATTTCGAGATTTTCACACCTGGCTGTAGAATTGTCAGACGAAGCAATATGAAGTTTATAAAAACATTCAACATCAGAGATCATAGTTTTCGTCGAATAAACTAAAATAAAAATTAGAACTAAATAATCAATTCAATTTTTAAATCATTGAATAAAATTACCAATTATAGTTCTCTGGGGATTTGTAGTCGCCTGTATTATATTTTCTCCCACATCGCACTTCAATAAAACCTTTGAAAAAAAAATTAATTATCTTAGCTAAATAAAATCACATAATATTTTTACAAAGCAAATAAAATCGACAATACCTCTATAGTATTCAACAAAGTGCTATAAACACCAATGAATGTGTGTATGTAGTCCAGCGACCCTTTCAGGCACGTTATCCATGATATAACGATTGCATTATCTTGCTCTTGCCCAAGCAATTTCCAATCATAGCCATATTCGTACAGGTTCTTGTCTAAAAACGAAATACCGTCTAATTGTTGTATTGCACAATTTCACACATATTCACACAAAAAATTATTTTGGGATGGGTTTGCTATTTATTTTCTTTAAAATGACCTATTATTGTCAGTTGACTGATGATGGCTATTGAGAGTAACTTGAATTTAACCCAATTCAATGTGTAAGTCAAAAAAAAAACTAATTTGAGCAAAGGTTCACAATCCGAGTGACATTGAATTGCATTAGCAAAACTCCTTTACAATAAATAGAACAAATGGCAATACAAATAAGACTGTAATGTACCACTCAACTGTGAAAGATCCTTGGCTGAAAAACAACTCAATAGGAGCACTTAAAGTAATGGCAAATCATTGACCTAAACCTGACCTGTGGAGAAAAACTGCCGGCAGTTTTCCCGGTCTTTTCCAAACTCTTTTCAAATGCTGAAAATACAATCTGGAATCATCAGTGAACAAAACATGTCACAGAGAAGCCCTGCAACAACAGGACTGATCAAAGTATCAAAGGTTTATTGTGAGATGGGGAAAAATCCCGAGTGGACATGAGTGTTTCTCCAGCTCTTGAATCGAAAGCAAGGTCCAATAAAAACAAAATTAAGCCTAATTGATTGTTGGTGCACGGTTTAATCACTGTCAGCTCCCTTGGGGGCATTTCTAACAGATATTTGGTTTTGGTTGGTCTTAAGTACTTTTTATAATTTGTTTCAATCCATATGGAGATTGTTTTAATTAGTTTAAGCCAAAAATTTTAATTAAACCTTGTAATTATTTTCAGTTTTTGTTTTGAATAAATACTCTTTAATTTGATGCGTTGAAATACATTTCAGACCCTTTTTCAAATATTCTTTTATCCTGCTGAGTGGAAAGTTTCATTCCATTCAAGTCGAGAACTCAATCAACTCGAGGGCTCAGTCAAATCAAAGATTAAGAACTCAGTCAACTCAAGTATTCAATCAACTCGAGGACTCAGTCAATTTAAGAACTCAGTCAACTCAAGTATTCAATCATCTCGAGGACTTAAGTCAAATCTGTTTCTGTTTTTGAATAAATGGATTTTAATTTGATGTGTTGAAATACATTTCAGACCCTTTTTCAAATACTCTTTTATCCTGCTGAGTGGAAAGTTTCTTCCATTGAAGTCGAGAACTCAGTCAAGTTGAGGACTCAGTCGATCAAAGGACTCAATAAACTCGAGGACTCAGTCAATTTTAAGAACTTAGTCAATTCAAGAACTCAATCAACTCAAGGACTTGATCATCTCGAGGACTCAGTCAAATCAAGGATTCAAAACTCAGTCAACTCAAGGACACAACTTGAGGACTCAGTAAATTTTAAGAACTTAGTCAACTCAATGACTCAATTAACTTGAGGACTCAGTCAATCAAAAGACTCAATCAACTCGAGGGCTCAGTAAATGTTAAGAACTTAGACAACCCCAGGACTCAATTAACTTGAGGACTCAGTCGATCAAAGGACTCAATCAACTCGAGGACTCAGTTGATCCAAGGACTCAGTCAATTTTAAGAACTTAGTCAACTCAAGGACTCAATCAACTCGTGAACTCAGTCAAATCAAGGAGTCAGTCAGCATTAAGAACCAGTAAACTCAAAGAGTCAATCAACTCAGGCTCAGTCAAATCGGGGACTCAGTTGATTCAAGGACTCAGTAAAGACGAGAACTCAGTAAGTAAAGGACTCAGTTGATCCAAGAACTCAGCCGAGTCAAGACCTCAGTCAAGTGAAGGATTCAATTGATCCAAGGTGTGAGTCAACTCGAGGACTCAACCCAGAGCAGTCAAGCAGCCACACTCGTGTAGGATTCAGCAGGAGCTTACACTCAGCAAGTACTTAGTCATTGCAACAAGCTGAATGGAGTCGACTGTCAAGGATCCAGGGAGCTTTGGGAAGAAGATACTGGAGGATGCTGAAAGATATGTAAGCTGGTGTTGGCTAACAGCGTTTGGGGTAAGTCTTCTTAAGAATACAATCATCCTCAGAGTTAGAGTTGTGGCTGACTTGCCTTATTTGTTTGACTTTTTGTTTATTTATTACAATATTAAACTATCTTCTTTCCACACAAACAGTAGTTAAGCGCACCTGCTTACATAGGTGTAAATCATTTTAAAATAAGAACTAATGCTAGCAAATGAATTTCTCCTCGTAATTCAAGACCGGTTTGAAGAGAACATGAGCATGTTTGAACAATCCAAAGCATGAGTGGTTTTCAGAAATAGGGAATTAAATTCATTTATTTGAAGAAAATATGCGTGAAAACAGCCTCAAATGTGTTTTACTTGATGTCGAGAATATTAAAAATAACATTTATAACATCAAATCACGAGAAAATTAGTTGTAAATAATAGGTAAACAAAGCAGCTCATGATAAGAAATCGCTTGATAAGAATAATTCCTCTTGTATAAGGGTAAAATTAAAACTCACGTTCTTCTGGGAGAGCTTGATTGAATTTGACATTAAAATCGCTTTTAAAAAGTAACTTGGTCATAGTGAAAAAGTCGAAAGATTAATGGAAATTCACACGGCTGGAAGTTTCAAGTTATCATTTGAAACAATTGTCTATTGATCGTTGGTACTTTGGTATGGTTGCCTAGATCGATGGTAGGGTCAATTGTTATTCACCAGAGGTGGGAAACAACGATATTTTAAAAAAATCGACATCTTATCCTTGTACATTTTTTCATATTTTGTACCATTTCTATATTATTAAGTAAAAGTAATTAAAATCTAAAGAGTAAAAGACAGTTAACATTCTAAATAATGTATTTTTTATTCCTTTTTATTTTATTTTACAAACAATATACATATTAATACTAGGCTCACTTTTATTTTATTATTAATGATCCGCCACAAATTGTATTCCAAGTAGTTCCACTAATATAAATGATAGTGTTACTGATTTATTTAAGCTTAAAACTGCACGTGCATGTAAATATATAACATACATGTACAGAGTTGAGCCTGGCACTTCTTGGATTCCACTGGCAATTCCAGCTTTTGTACTTTGCAATAAACTACTGGCAGCCTTGAGAATTACCCATCCTGGGTGTTGGCAGTCCAGGGTCAGACCTCTGTATCTGACCAGCTGCCAAGGTTGGGCTCTCCGGGCTGTCGACAGCTAGGTCATTTCAGCCCCCAATGCATTCCTAAACCCATTCACGTTCTTATTCACTCTTAAATACATTCTTTCAGGGTAGTCGAGCACTTGATATTCCTCCATCACCCTTTACACCTATTATATAACTAACCTAATTCAGGGACGATAGGGTGTTCAGTATTACACCATTGGCCCTCCCACATTACACATTTGCCAATAAATACATTCATTCTCATTACACACTAGGGTACAAAACAATATCAGCACTATATGCAATAAATCACTCTTTTTCCTCCAAGAATCGGAATAGGGGACCCCCACTACGTACAATTCTCATATAAAATGCCATTCCTACACACTCTCTATATGCAACCAAGGAAATGCACCCTACAACTAGGTGGGACTCATCACTTTCTCGGCATGCTGGACACAAAGGCTTTGCCCGAAAAGTGTCTGTGTGTATACCTCATGGTCTATTCTTAATCGGGTGAGAATAAACCTTGTTCATAGAAATGGTGAATGATAGAGTGAGTGCTGTGTTCAATCCCTTTTTTAAAAGAGATAGTTCCTACTCACAATAAGTTGTTTCCCAATGATCCAGATTTCGAGCCCTTAGCTCATCGGAAGGATTTCTACAACCTGATGATGAGCTAAGGGCTCGAAATCCAGATTGTTGGAAAACAACTTGTCAGTAGGAACTATCTTTTTTAAAAAAAGGATTAAACCTTTGTTCTATGAATCAGGTCTTCCAAGGGCCATCATTCAACAGTGTTCTTGTTATGTGAGAACTTCTGTACCAATCCGGCTCCCTGACGCTGCTATTTTCTTTTAATCATGTTTTTTATTATTTTTGTTATTGCATTTTTAGTGACAGGGGGCTGGATCATGGTAGTTAAGTTTGGAGGTTGGTACCTCCCTCCCTTAGCCGCCTCGGCCACATTTCATTATATTCCAGCCTATGTTTCTGGATACTCTGACAATTTCGCCAAGATGCTCCAGATAGTGGTATCTTGCCAAGAGCACAAAAGAGTCAACAAAGAATGTGTCTTGGAGTAACCGCACTGAGGGAGTCAGTGAAGACCAGATAAGTAGAGCATCTTGAATCGACTCAAGCATGTGCTAAATCGTGTACAATTCTGCCGGCTACAGTGTGGTGGAAGCGACCTGGAAGTGAACGCACCTTTGCAATACATGGGGTATGCCACACCTTCGCCAGTCTTGACCTAACTGTGAAAATGAGGTGAAAACCGTACCTTGATCAAAGTTACAAGCTTTTATATAAAATTTTATTATATTACATATCTTGTATGTATTAGATTTTTTAAAAATTTTCACATTTTTTTATATTGCCGTACCTCACTCTGAGGAGTTGTCAATTAAATAGGATTCCAAGGATGTAATATGTAGTGTGTAAGGAAGTGGTTAAGATTATAAAGGATGCCTGAATGCCAGACCCTATCAAAAGCCTGGTCCAAATCCAAGAACACACCCAAGTAATACGTCCTCTAGAGCGGAGTAAATGATTTCAATGACTGAAGCCTTGCTAATTCTTGGGATGATGGAAATAGAAGTTGAATTGGTGACAAGGAATATTTTATGCGACTCTGCGAGATGGATATTAAACGTTTTAAAGGGGGTCTTTTGAAGATTTTTTGGAGATCACAAGAGGATTGGGCTTTATGAATGAGAATCTCTACTACTATTTCCATAAGAGAAGAAAGTGAGTGATGTGGATAACAATAATATGGCATTCTGAGGATGGCATTGAAATATAGGGAAGGTAATTAGGTCATATCCAGGGGATTTTCCACTTCTAACTTCAGAAGATGAAAAAAAATAAACCTAATAACTTGTTAAATAAATAAATTTATTAATAAATTGTTAAACATATAAAAATATAAAAAAAAATTTAAAAACATAAATGTCTTCTAATTAAATAAACAAATTTATTAACATTTGTCTTATCGTTTCGTAAATTACAACAAATTTAGAGGTACTGTATATATTTCGGGTAAATCACATGAACATAAATGTTCTGGCAATTAAAATTCTTTTAAGGTATAGGTGACATAAAAAGTTGCACTTAAGACAATTATTGGGCCCATTCGCTTCTTGTCAATTTCTGACTGAAAGAGTTTAACTATTCTATGAGACAACATACTTTTACTATCATGGAATGCTTGAAATTGATTTATTAAAAAAAATCAAATTTAAAAACTACTGAACTACATTTCTGCTTTGTTTATTTTAAGAAAAATAATTTCAAATATGGATAATTTTTACAAATTAATTTACTTTGACAAATACATTTGATAAGTAATTCAAAATTCAAATTTGCAATAAATATTAACAAAGAAAGAACATTTGAGCCAGTGATGGAATGTCTAATTAAAATAAAATTTGGAATGCAATAAATTTCTGAGAAATAATTTAAATTTCACTTTCATTGACATTAAATTAATGATAGTACATTTTTGCATCAAACAGGCCCATCAAAAGGCTTTAACTAGAACCAATCATGTTTTAAAAATGGTCAAATTTAGAAACTCAACTGTAAATATAAAAATAAAATTTGTATCAATAGTGTTAATACTAATAATACTAATTAATACTAATACTATGATTAGTAATTAATTATTACTTTTAGTAATAGTACTAATAATCATTTAGTTATGTAATTATTATATAATATTATTGTATAATAGTTACTGAAATCGAAAAATGAGAGCCTAGAAAATATTTTTATATAATTCAAATAAATGTACAAATTTCTGTAGCTTAATGGTCTCTGATCATAATCTTATTTTGCCATCCACAATCGGCAGGGAGACGATCAAGCTAAGTTCACGTGTACTTCACCACACAAAATACAACCTTTGTTTAAAGCTTATGCCAAATTACTTTATGTTATGTGATCCAACTTTCTTAAAGCTTGTGAAAATAAATTATCTTAAATAAAATCAACAAACGTTAACATTTTTATACTAACAAATTAATTTTTTATAAATAGTAAATGTAATTAATAAATTACTATATGAATTTAGTAGAACTGGATTAATTTAAAGTTTTGCTTTTTTTACATAGTTTATATGCTCTATGTTCTCACAACACATGTTCTTGCTTAATATATGATTGGTGTTGTATATGTATGTATGTTTATACACACATATCCTAATTTTTTTTTAAATATAATGACTAGATAAATGTGATAATTGCTAATGTTTTTTCTTTCATCTCGCAACAACTGAAAATACAACAAATTTCCTTTCCCTAGATTGCAGTATTTGATACTTCTGGACATAAATCATGCATTTGGAATACAATAGTAACAACCATTCAATAAATTCATAACTTATTCTAAATAAATTAAAATCTCACTGAAATTATAAAAAAAACAAATCAAATTTCCACAAATATAGTTATTTAATTCGGACAAATTTTTCTGCTACTACTAAAAATGATCTTCTCATAAACAAAAAACCTTTATTGAATTTATAAAAAATATATAATTGAGTAATTTTTATGTGATACTCAAAGACACATATAAAGATTTAAATCAGTTCTTCAACTATTACAAACGTATAAAAATATAGATCTTCAACACTAAGATCACTTCCATAAGTAATAATTCAGAAATAACTATGGAAGCTCTTCCCAATTAAAGATATATAATAATTAATATTCTCATATGTTTTGTCATAATGATTGCGTTATGTACTGAAGATCATAATATAAACCTTACCAATTTCTTATAATATATCTTTTGGGATCTGCTCATCAGCAGAATTTTTTCTTGATTTCTTTCCTCGTTTACGAGTAGATTTAGATTCGACGTTTCGCCCGTAAAACAGATCTAACAATTTGCTGACGCCAGGCTCCTGAGACGAACCAAATTTTTCCAATGTCTGTGAAAAAGTTAAGTAGAAATATTAGTTAAATATAGAAAGGCGATCAACTTCAACAGGTTATATTCCACCTGAACACTCATAAATGACCAAACTTTATTACAAGGTGGCTGAGCAGCCCTGGGATCGGACAAGGAGGTGAGCCCAGACGACCCAACACACCCCCAGGCACTTCCCCCTTTATACCAAAATTTATCATATTTGTACTTTTTATTAGTTGTTGCACGGATCATATGCCGAGATTCAAACTCACGACCACGAGCATGACAAACACGAGTCGGATGCCCTAGCAACTTGGCCGTGGTCTCCTACACATCAGTTTATACATATATTTTTGTTACTATTGAAGTGTTACATTTGATTGAGTGTAGAGAACCCGCAATAAAAATTACCTCCATTGTGACGAGCGGCTTCCCTTTTTTCGTGCGCTCGCTAGGCTTGCTCCGAGAGGGTAGCGAGCTACTCCACTCTAGGCCCGTCAAGCCTTTTAGGGGTAAGATTTGTCAGGTTGCCCGGGCTTGATGGGTGAACACCTTTTCCTTACTTACTACTAACTCTGGACAAGGAGGTTTGAGAGAAAGATACACCAATTCGGACAGAACAAACAGGTCCCTTTATTTGATATGACTGAACAATTCCCAATATGTATAATCAACTAGTGAATAACGCCCTAACCCTGCTTATAAATAGCAACCCTTATTTCCTATTAAACAATTCATATACAAAACCTATTACTGGAAGACTAATTCTAGATATAACTATGCTCTTACTCTCTTTAACGAAACCTTAATACTAGGGGCTTAATTATTGGGGTCGTAGTGCAAAAAGTAGCCTGAAATCGCCCAACTGTTCTCCAAATCCCCCGTAAACCAATTGACAAAATTTGTACTCACAGGACTGAATACGTGCATCGATTTTGGTGGTACGGATCTTGCGAACTACGCTGACTAATCTGCCGCACCAGTTCACCCTTTTGACAGACTCACTCGTCGTCTCCACGGGACACTTCGACTGACTCAACTGCGGACTCCCGTACTACCGACTCTACTCGGACTCTCTTCGGACTCCACCCGGATTCTCTTCGGACTCCACCCGGATTCTCTCTTGGACTCCACCCGGATTCTCTCTTCGGACTCCACCTGGATTCTCTCCTGACTCCACCCGGATTCTCTCTCGGACTCCACCCGGATTCTCTCTTCGGACTCCACCTGGATTCTCTCCTGACTCCATCCGGATTCTCTCTCGGATTCCACCCGGATTCTCTCTTCGGACTCCACCCGGATTCTCTCCTGATTCTACTCTCTGATTGTCCTTTTTATATCAATCCGTTCAGGGAGGAGGTGGGGAACAGTTGCATTTCGAAAATACTGCTATGCTTCTGGGTGACCCGACTGCCCTTTGTCTTCTCAGGTCATTGAGCTATTTCGGATGAGTCCGGGCATTCGCTAATCCTGAGGGTTGAGCAATAAGGCCACTCGTCAGCAAAACAGCCAATTTTTCTAGGGCGATTGCCCCTGGATCGAATTTCTCAATCGAAAACATCCAGCCGTTATTATTTCGCCAGCTTTTTTTTAGCTGCGTCTGGAGTTCTCGAGAAAGACCGTGTCGGCTCCCGCGATTCCAGGCCAACTCCGGTTACTCAACCCGGCACAATACGCTTTCCCAACAATTAGCTAACCTATTTCTACGTCTAATTTTAATATTTATCACAAACTTAAATTTTTTACAACCCCGTTTAATATTCCTTTCTGGGGATCTTCACATCCATTATAATTCATGTCAGCCTTAAAAACTTATAATGTAGGACCTATTAAATCAGGCCGAGTATTGAGACTTAGACAGGAAAAAGAATGACAAGCAATTATTAATTTGTGACACAATAAAGTCCATTGTGTAATAATGTAAAGAAATAAAATATTTTAGTTATAAAATAGTAATGTAATATTACTTACAGAATAACTCAATTCAGACTCGACGATAGCTTTATTCACTGGATTTTCATGCGTGCATGCAAGCAATGTTGGAAAAAGGTAAACCATGTAGCAATCGCTGCAAAAATATTTAAACGGTAGGCTGACTAATAATTGTAGCACAGTCGGTTGCTGACCAGACTGCAAAACAGCCTGAAACAACGATCAAAAACATTACCTCTTTGCTGAAGTACAAAATCTACAATAACTACCAGTTGCTCTCACTTCTAATTACTAACTGGTTTATGAATCAAGTTATTATAAGGGCACTAATACTAGGCAAAAAAGTTATAAAAAGGATCTTATTTTCTTGTTAATCTCATTGATCTCACTCATTTGTAAAGTCAAGAGAGACTCTAAAGAAGTGAATGATGCTGATTAACATAAGCTCAATTCTGCACATGGATGACATACATGCGTGTGCAGAGTTGAGCCCATCACTTCTCGCAGTCCATCTGCAATTGCATTATTCTAATTTACAATAAATTACCCACAGGCCTCAAGAATGACCCCTCGGGTGTAGGCAGTATGGGGGTCAGACCGCAGTCTTATCCGTCCAGCCATTGAGATTGAGCTCCAGGGGCTATCAACAGCTAGGTCATTTCAGCCCCTAACACCAGTATCCAAATCCAAACCCATTCACATTTACACTCATTCTTAAATACATTCTTTCTTATTTTCATACCATTAACTCAGTTAAAGTGGTGATAAACTTGATTAGATTTTGGCAGCCCAGGTATGGACCTCGGTCTTATCCATCCCATCCCTCAAGTTAAGATGCCAAAGGCTGAGCTCAACACAATACCTAATCATTTGTGGGAAGTTTCTTGTGCTATCACTATAAAGACAGAAATGCAACTCATCAGTAAACATAACAGCATTCCAATTAGTGTTCTCTTCTAAGCGCTTGCTGCACCTTATTTTCTTGAGTAGCTGCTGGCGGGCTTTGCTGCAGGTCGCCTCCAAGGGCATACAATGTGAGGCCAACTTCCCACAAACTATGTCTTGTGGCAATGACAATATTTCTGTCCTCCCTTAGCTTTGCAGTACGTTGGGATTCACTACTAGGCCTCCTATTGGCACTTTCAATCTCTCGAACTGGGAGACCACGCTCTGTGCAATATCCACTTGCCGGTGACCTAGACGACTCATTCTCACAATAGTACTGCGAACTTCTGGTTCAAGATGATGTCTTTCCATGGTTGAAGAGAATATAATTGGATTAAAATGGAGAAAAGGTGTTTGTTTACAAAATGAGTAATCTTCATATTTACTTTTCTTAACTAAATCCATTATTAAAACTGAGGATTAACATTTATTTTTTGTTTTTGGTTGGTATTTTCTATTTGGTTTTATCCAACTAACAAGAATATATCAGTTAATTAATCAAAATTAATTGGATAAGAGTAAACTACAAATATTCCTATTCATTTTTGCACAGTTTATAATTGTGGGTCGATGAGGTACTCAGTATTCCACCATTGGCCCTCTCACACTACATATTCACACAAATAAATACATTCACTCTCAACACATGCTAGAGACACAAAACTATCAGTATTATATAGAATAGAACATCTCTGTTATCTCCAAAAATCGGCACAGATGACATACATACTCGCTCAAGTACAATTTTCATATTGGGTGGCATTCCTACACACTCTCTATAAGGAGCCAAGGAATGGCACTCTTCAATTACATGGGACACATGTGCAACGTTTTTCTTACAACGTACACAGGTTTTAGCCCAAAAGTAAGTGGCCATATGTCAACTTCACACAGCATATTGTTACGATCCCTCGTCTTCTAAACAGATCCTCTGAAGGTGGAGAAGTAAAACAGATTGTCCTCTTTCTAGTTTTCATTGTTAAACACACATTTTCATACACATAAATTATTTGCTTCACAAAAAAGTTTAATTGGAAAGGTTAGCTAATAATAATAAATTTGCTAATATTTTAATATTTTTGAGTTTAACATAAAACACCGATTTAATAATAAAAATAAACTGTTAATAGACTAATAATGTTGTGTAGGAATGGTTTCAGAATAAATAAAGAAAGAAATATCAATACTACAATATTACTAATTGACAAAGACTATGATTTAGATGTTATTGTGCTGAGGATTGTTATTTGTCGTGTTTTACCTGATTTTTTGGGTTTCCAATTGAGAAATATCCGATTAATTGAATCATCACCAAGATCAATGATTCAGGATGAGGGTTTTTATTGCAAAATGTCATTATGATGCTAGCTATACTTCTTATTTGCAACGCCATACCTTCTGCACCTAATATTTCCTAGAACAAGAAATATTGGCTATAATTTTAGGCTTATGCTAACATCAGGAATGAGAAGCAATTTTCAGAAAGATTCAATAATCAACAGAAACACAAAATATGTTTTACTTTGTTTTGGTGTGGACAAAGTATAAATATTCACAACTTTTTACAGCTTTGATTTCAATTATATTTGAAACTCCACCAGTAATTAAAATGCTAGTTTATAAGTTCAGTACTTACCTGAAATAAAGTTATATCGATTATAGCAAACTTCAAAAGCATGGTAATTATAGGATGAGCACATCCCGGTAAATATTTGGCATTTGTCGCAGACATTTTTTGAAGTGATTCGCACAGGAGGTAAACGGTTTCAAGACAGTCTGTCGCTTTGAGCAATGTTCGTAAATCGTTGGAATAAAACCTAGAATTCAAAGTTATTTCAGATAAGACAAATTTCATGCAAAAATAGACACAATAGTACAAACAACTTACTGTTTATCAAGAAGGACTGAAAACATGTAAATGCTTGGAGCTACGAGGGAGTTCATCTGGTCAAGCCCATCGATAACGACAACCCGCAGTAGATCTATGATATTATGAACAATACCAGAGCAGATAAAGTAACTGTAAAAGAAAATAAATTGTTTTTATAATTATAAGTATTAAGCCTAATATTACATATTACATATTGTATTTTATTTTAATTTAAAGACACAAGTATTCATACATTTAACTAAAATAAACACTTAAAAACATAAATAAATAAATTAAATTGTTTATATACGAGCTGGTAAGATTGATGTGGTAAGATTAATGAAGACTAAACTTGAGCTTACGGCAAGCAGGCATGGATCACTGTTTTAATACCTCAGGGCAATGAGAGTTTTTATAATAGTAATACGTGTTGGTGTGAATGTAAATTTTTAGTGTGAATGAGGGGATTATCCCCCATCCTGAGGAATATCGAGTACTCTAGGACGAGAGTGTGTTGCCTGGAGGGTGAAAGTAATTTATTAGCATGAATAGAGGGTTTAAACCTGCATTGAGTAATATCAAGTACTCAGGGGGAGTGAATGTGACCAGACTTGTCTTGTTAAGGGAGGTGACAGGATATCAATGTTGTCGGAATTTCCAGTACCACGACACTGAACGTGCCCTTCCGGCTTTTTGGCTGGGGGGGGCTGCAGCATGTTCTCAGGGGATTGTTTGTTAGCTCTTCACCGGGGCATTGGGGGGGGGGGTTCCTCTACACACTAACCATAGTGTTTTCTAGTTCTTTCAATAGTAATTTGACAACCTGAGGTATGTGAGAGTGGTAACAAGAGGGTAGCAGGTTAGCAAGTTAAGAAAACAGAAAACAAAATACGGGAGTCAGTGGCAAAGATGCACAAAAGAAAAAAAATGAAGAATTTTCTGTTTAAAGTGTGAAGGGCAAGTGATGACCACTTGATGTTTGTTGGCCATACATACATAGTACTAATACATGTGAGCTAATATGCCAAATATAATTTACTGTTTGTTCTTGATGTAATAAAAAAACCATTGTTTACTGAGTAAAACAAATTTTTTCTAACTCAGAATTAACTGAATGATATTTGATTTATTTATGACAATAATTATGTATGATAAAAAAAATTGCATATTAAGGCAGACAAAATGCAACAATACACAATAAATAATAAATACCTCACTAAGTCAGGAATTCTATTGGCAAATTCTGAATACACGACAGGATCAGCTTCTTGACATTTCTTAATGTCATTGAACAATTGTAATATAAAATTTGCCAACATTCCTAGAACATTAAAATAAAAATATCATTAATTATAAGACAAATTATTATTATTATTCAAAAATTTTAAACAGTATATATATTTTTTTTACTTACGTGCTAATAAAATCCACTCATCCCGCTTTTTCTTTAGTTTTTGTTTCTAAAGAATAAAATAAATAATTAAAAACGGTTTATCAATCAGTAAAAGGACATTCTGTATTACAAGAAAATACTGCATAGTTACACATACCATAAAGGACAGTTGTAATAAATCGAGAAACAGTGCTATGTCATTACTGCACATCAGGTATCTCAAACATTGAAAATCTTGTTTACAAACTATATCAAGCAAAACAATGAGTGTTTGTAAAGACCTGAAAAACAAAATTTCATTTAATATGATGATAATAATGATCAATATTCATCACATTTAGCTAAATAACCAATGATGACAAAGCAAAACATATTGAATGTAGTATGCAAGTTAGGATTAATTATATTATTAAGTCTCGTACAGGTAGGTAAAACTGCTTGATATAAATTATTGCAACCATAAATAATAAATAGAAAATACATACTTAACAAGTCCAGATGAGTTCTTTGTTTGGTCAGCTACTTCTAACCCTTTTTTTATCAAGTCGCTGCATACTAAAAATCCTTTACAATATGAAAAGACATGGGTTGAGTTAGACGCCTGAAAGACAGTAAACTGCAAAGTTATAAACATGTTTACTAAATCTCTAAAACGATCTTACCTCCTGTTTTAGAACTTCATGCAAGGACATTAACCTTTGATTTATTAATCCAAATGATTTGTCATTAAAAGTTGAACAGACCAGCACATCCAGCTCATTGAGTTCATGCGAGGTTTTACAATTTCTTTCCGGTTTGGCAAACTCGATAGACTGCACAAAGTGTGTGCCTCTGAAAAAAAAAAAAAAATATATTAAACTGATAAAATTCTATTCACAGATTATGATGAATTAGAATGTTTAAACAAATACCTTGCTGTCATTCGCAGGCGAATTTTTTTGCATCTCTTTTTAAAAGTAGGTATTAATTCGTTGTAAGAATAATGGTGTGACTCTCCCGTGTCTTTTTGATCTTCCTATGAATCAAGGAAAAAATATATATGTGCATACAAGAATACAATTTCAAACATGTTAAAACAAAAACCTTTCACAGGCATTAACACAACTTTATTAATTTGTTTCATAGCTTGAACATATATTTTAAATGAAATTTCTAACATAAAACTACCTGCCTTTATCAGTGTTTTGGTATTTTGAACATATACAAGCATTAATAGAAAATAAGACATCTAAACAAATTATTTATAACTTTAAAAAATCCATAAGTCAATAGATAGAAATTTATACTATGTACTATTTTATTTAGACTTTGTTTTAGTTCATTTAATTCTTTAATTACTACAGAAATAAAGTAAACAATAATCTGTGGTGAATGGAAAGAACTATATCCTAAAAATGTTTATCCAAAAGGTTTCAGTTCCAATGTCCAAAATCCTCAAAAAAAAAAAAACCTTTTAAAGTGATTAATATGCATTACAGTTATTCATAAAATCATTTCGTCTCACCAGTTCTTCTTATGTCCTCATCATTCCATAAGTGGAAAAGACAGTTCTAATCACAGAAGTAGTCACTCACAGAACTTCTGTGATGAAAACTGTCTTTTCCAAAAAGTGAATTGCCATACTCACCCCATCTCAAATCATTCCTATAGTTTCAGAGTTGTCGACACTATTTCCTCTGCTCTAGAAAATTAAGAGTATGGCTTGATGTAGCACAGGCTTTTGATATGGTCACCTGGTCATGCTTTATAAACTTAAATACTCCCTTCTCCTTATTACCTTATCCTAAAATCCTACCTAACCAATCATGAGATGCGGCAACAAATGCTCAGAAGTCAGACAGATTCCACAAGGGAGCATTATTGGTCCCATCAATATTGCTGACCTACCTATACAATCTAATACCATCATCACCACATATGCAGACGATAATGCAATTTTGCCCGTTAACTCGAATCCTATCCAAACTACCACCAACATCCAAGAACACCTTGATGATGAAGATTCATGCCAAAAGTGGAGGACAAGATTGAATGAAGAAAAATGTAAAGAAAAACAGTTTAGCCCTCCACAGCAAGAGATACTGACTTCCATTCAAGAGAAATAATTAGGACTATATCTAGACAGCAGAATGACTTGGAATCCCCGCCACAAGATTATGAGACAACAACTTAACAGACGATTTGGAAAACTATGAAGACTTCTAGTACTGACATCCATCTTGACTGTCAATACTAAATGAACCTTATGTAAAACAATTAATTAAGGTTTTTAGTTGAGATAAAAAGGTGTGGTTGAGGTGGGAAGTTAGTGTCCAAGTGGATCGAGGTCACGATAGCTCAAGTGGTAGAGCAGCGGCGTATCTAGCCGAAGATCGTGGGTTCAAATCCCGCCAGTGCCTTTGACTTTTTTATCTCAACTAAAAACCTTAATTAATTGTAAGATATTAATTGGTCAAGCGGACCACGAAACTAGTGAACTTAGGTAAAACTTTACTGTGACCAATTTGGACATATGGAGTGGGGTTCTGCCAAGCCATCCAACATCCAGCACATCGAATCCTTCCAATAAAAATACATCGGACAAATAGTCAAAGCCCCTTTCTACATTGCTAACCTCTTTAGACTTCAACATTCCTTTTGTCAATGAACTGATCCATTCCTGATTCCAAAAGTCTTACACCAACCTTTTGATCCATCCTAACCCAACTGCTAGAGCCCTTTCTACACATTCCCATTCCATCGCCTTAATCGATGATGGCCTTGAGACGTTGCCCCTTAATCCCACACATTGAGTGCCAGCCAGCATTGGCCGGTTTCTCATGGAATGTGTCTTCCGAGTGTAGTGTTGGCATTAGTGTTAGTGCTGAGACCGTGTGAAAAAAACTTTGTGACCACATTAGTACTAATAGATTAGAAATAAAATAATTTAAAAAAAATGTTTATAGTGCATATTAATATAAACTTACCGTTTTTAAACTGGCTGAGGTCAGTGTGTCTTCTGCAGTTTTGTGTAAACCAACTTCTAGAGCTTTTTGCCTGATAAGTTCTATATTTTCTTCATGCCTTCTGGCGCTTTCTTCTTGCTTTTGTTGAATGCGCTTTTGCAGCTCTTCAGCATTCGCTAACTGAGCTGCCTGTCTGGCCAGCAGCCGTTCTTCCCGCTCTCTACAGTGAAAACATATGATTAATTTGTATTACACGACATCCTGTTTGTCATTGCCAATCATTTTGGCCTAACTGACCAAAACAGCTATGTGGCCTTGTGTTGTAGGTGAATCCACTCAGAATTGGAAAACAAGGACCAAGAGACCAAGTGAAAGTATGAGTGAGAGCAGGAAATCTGTTCTCTCATTTCTAGAAAGAGAAGCGAAAGACCGAGAATGGAGTGGACACCTACTCAGGTGTATGTGCAAGGTTCAGATTGCAGAGGTGGGAGCATGGCCTGAAGCCAAAGAGAGAAGGAAACGTCACCTTGAAAGAAGGGACCCTTAGCCATCAGCAATAAGAGACACGACATGGCCTTGTATGCTTGTCTTGTACGTGAATCCACTCTGAGTTGGAAAACACGGGCCAAAGAGGATAAGTTAGTTGTGCGATCTTGACAAGTAATAACAGTGGCCCTGGCGGCAAGCCACCATGATCAGAAAAGACCAAACTACATGTATGATTTGTGTTATTTGAAAATTCTATTATGCAAATGTAATTACCGAGCTTTTTCTCTTGCAATTTCTTGTCTCTCTTTTTCCTTTTCTTGTTGCTTTCTGTCTATAATTTCTTCTTTCTTTTTACGCTTTTCACTCATTTCCTGAAGTTTGGCCTAGAACATTCATTTAATAAAATTTAATGTTACGAAAGTTTACAAAAAATAAGAAAAACAGCTATTAAATTTATTTTGAAAAAAAAAACTAATGACATATAGCAACAATATTTTGAAATAAAAAATGACTAATGACATATTGAGAGGACAGTATTCAAAGGTAAATGAACCTGTCGTTCAGCTTCAATAACCCTTCTGCGCTCTTCAACAGCAGCATCTTTAGCAGCTTTCTCTTCAACTTTCCTCTGACGTTCTTCAATTATATATTGTATTCTTTCTTCATGTTCCTGCAGCAAAGTTAACATGTTCATAAACTTCTCGACTGATTTAAAGAATTTACATTTTTAACAAATTAAAAATAAATGATTTATTTGAATTATTGTGAAGTGTTAAAAACAAACTAACCTGTCTTAAGACCAAAGAATCGTGTCGCCTATTTTGAGCTTCAAGCTCATTGATAAAAGCAATTTCTTTCAATTTTTCTTCTTCGTCGTGTGCTTTCCTCTTTATAATACTTAGATGTAATTTTCTGTTTTCCTCGGCTTTTTTTAGTTTTTGATCAATTTGAGATTTCATTTGTAAAGCTAGTTTATACTTGGAAGCCCTTACCTCCTCTACCTGTGAAAACGATAAAAATGTTATATTTTATATATCAATATTTTAACAGACGCTTATAAATTTCATTTTGGAGCACTTGAAACATCTGAATTATGCCATTAAATAAATTTGCAACTGTTACATGATGATACAATAAGCGATAGTTGGTTATTAAACACTTTCCTTCTGTTGGATTATGTATTTACATAATAAATACAAAATTTTTTTTTATAAAACTGGACTGTCAAGTAGACCCATCATCATGGGTTTGATCGTTGTTTCTACTCTAATATGTAAAAACATAAAGCTATTAAAGCTTTTTTTTTAAATAATTGTTATATATTACCTTTTGCACGAATTCTCGTACTTTTGCAGTTTTACATTGAAGTAGTTGCTGTCTTTTTTCATAAGCCTGCTGCTGTTTTTCTTCAGTATCTTTCAAGCGTTTATGCTTGTTGGCAATTTCCGACCGGAATTCCAAAGCTCTATCAGCATTACACAAAAGAAATTCCTCAAAATGTTCAATTGAAGGAGATGAGTATGAGTCAATAACTGTAATAACAACATATATTGGAGTTTTTTTTTAAACCAATCTAATGTAGTTTTACTAAACTGTATTCATTCATAATGAATAATAATAACAATAATAATAATGATAATAAATAAATAAATAAATTTTTGTTTATAAAAACTAAAATAATGCTGTAAATTTATTTAGTTGATGTAAAATGGTATAAAAACGTAATAACAAATCGGTTGTGAAGAAAATATTAAACTTACATGAATGAGGAGAATCAACAGAAAGAAGAGTGGCAAAGTGCTCAATTTCATCCATTTGGGCGGCCCAAGTAATACCTAAAACACCATGCTTATAATTCAAACAGTTTTGTAATAATTTATTATATTAATGTAATTTTTCTTATGAATAAACATTAAACTTGATAGGATTAATTTATAAAATTGACAGAAGAATCGACCAAGAATACATGTCTTTCTTAACTCATTCAGGACAGTCAGTGCTATCTATTCATTTCCCAAGTGAGGTACTGAAAGTGTGATGTTATGCTCATCTCGACCCCTACGCAGATGCTGAGAGTGAGATAGATAATAGAGTGAGATATATATAGATATATATCACGCTCATCCACATCTCTAGCTGGTACTTTTTTACAATGGATACTAGGAACTGGAGGAGTTCCTCTGAGCACTTCAGCTGTATACTACCTATTTACTTTATTCCTTACGTACTTTATTCCTGTGCCGGTGTTTTCCATCGAAGGAACTCATTTTTGAAGGGGCTTGGTCCCAAATTTTGGGTCGTTGAGATCTGATCCCACCCCAGACCTTCCATTGATGAGTGCCGTGTCAATTTGTTTCAATTGTGACCACCGTCCCGTTAAAAGCATCAGAAAAAGTCCAGAGGTGGTGGTGGGGATCAAACCCGCGACCGCATGATCTACCAGCTGAGAATCTGGCGCCTTAACCACTCAGTGCTCATCCTTACCTCTTGCAAGTACTGCAATTGACAGCGTGAATTGTGTTATAGTTTCTTCACTTTTAGATTTAAGTTCATAGAAGCAGTGCCCTGTTTAATTTATTATTTTTACTGCTAGGAAGAGTGGGAAATTTAGAAAGTTATTTACCATTTTAAGGAACACAATGCTTCTTTGAACTTCAGCCTAACGATGAAAAGGCTAGAGTGCGATATAATGCTCGTAGAACCTGAGTAGAGGTAGAAGTGAGTGTGTTGGTACGCCCTGAATACCTCACTGGGGGAAGCAAGAGAATATCACGCTCACTGTCTTGAATTGGTTAAGGAATAGACAGCCATTATGCCTACTCTTTAAAGCAAAGTTAAAAGTTACAAAAGAATCAAGAAGTTTACTTTTTTTGTCGATAAAAACAATGTATTTAACAAAATCAACAAACAATGTATACGAACTTACAGCTCAAGTATTCCATAAATTCTGAGTACATATCCTTTGCATTGTTTTCACTGAAAACCAATTGACCTGGAGAATTTGTATCTGTGCTCTCTGAATGTTCTTCTTCAGAATATCCTTCTAACATTTTGTCCTGGTAATTTAGAGCAGATAAATCTAAATTGAGTGAGAGATCCGCAGCCGTAGAATCAAATAGACTGGGCCCTGGATGGTTAAAATTGTCAATCTCTTTAAGTATTTTACTGCTATTCATATCTTCTTCATTTTTATTTGGTTTCATTGGGTCATTGATCTAACAATTATAAATTACAATAGTAAAAAACGTTGAATATTGAATAACACATATTTTCAAAGGTATTTTATCAATTTACCTGCATCTGTACTGCTTTATCAAAGTCTTTGTCGACAGCAGTCATATCTGGGTTTGCCTTGTTAGCTTCATGAAAATCATTTTCATCTGAAGTTTGTGCACAATCTTTGACCAAACTATCATTCAAATTATTAACTATACCATTGGAAACTAGGTCTTTTGGGTTATTTAGGTCATCCGTGTTACTTGAAATCCTCTCCATTTCATCATTCAACTCCCTAGACAAATGATAAAATTAACAATTATCAAAACAAAGATAATAACAGTAAAAGTTTGGGTGTAAAATAATAACATAATTTTCTACATTATTATAATGCTTATTTTAATACTTTTTCTTATTTTCAGTACAAATAATACAAGATTTTATAAAATGGTGCCGGTAAAAAAAATAAATAAATAAATAAAAATAATTTTTTAACAGGGGTGTCAGGTTTGAATTCAGGGCCACTGGTTTTGAACCCATCCTTACAACAACAAAAAATTTTGTCACCCCAGCAGTGGACCAGATAATCAAGAACATCATACAAAATTAACTTGAATTTATCCTAGGTTTTGATCCTTTTGCTTCAAGGTTTTTGTTTTAAAAATGATATCAAACATTATCAATGAAAATTATGAGAAAATATGATATACTTATGTTTTTGAACTGCTTCCTCATCATGTACTGGTTCAATGACTTGTGAATTGACTGATGGAGAATACATCAATGTATAATCTCTTGTTTTGTACCTCACAGTTTGCCATCCATCTATAAACATTTAAAATTAGACATGTTAGACTCTTAACTAACTAAACCATTTTATTATATTAGCTAGTATAATTTACTATGATTAAACTAAAAATTGCTTTAAGTGAATGAGAAAAAATCCTTTTGTCAAGAATTAAATAATTTAATAATAGTTAATTTCCATTTGGGGGCTTGCTTTTCTGGCAGTACCATTTCTTGGATTTTGAATGGCAAAAAACCTGCTCAATGTTTTACGTTTCCCAGTGTATGAAACACTTTAAGGAAGTGCACCATTGATTAAAGAACAAGAGAGTTGGAAAGAGCAAGGTTAAGGATGTAAGGCCGGTGCGGTAAAAAGCTTTATTATATATTTATTATATTTTAAATTTGTTTTCTTTTTCATTTGTACACTGTGTGTTGTCATATTGAAATAAAACTTCTCATTCCACTTAAACTTGACATTGTATCTACAAAACCTTAACAGGTAATAATTTTCTGATGAATTATCCATTACTTAGATTATAATTGTATATAAAAGATTAAGGATAAAACGCATTTGAAAAAAAAAACCACAAAAGTTCTTTTGACAAGCTTTCGAGGAATATTTTCATCATCATCATGACTTTAAAACGATTGCTAATTATTGAAACAATTAACAATATAAAGTATAAATATATAAACTGTTTAAATAATTAGAAATAGTTTTAAATTCATGATGATGGGGAAAATATTCCTTCACCGTGATTTCCATCTCCAAGACATCGACTTTTCTATCTCAACAAATAGTTTTTGTGTAATTCTCTTGCTTACCTTGCTTAACACTCAAGTGGATAGAGCAAAAGGGGAACAGTTCCAAAGAAAGTGGGTTCAAATCCCATCCATGACATTGGCTTTTTTTTTATCTCAAATTTTATTTTTAAAAATACTTATATATAATATAATGAATGGAACTGAAACCATTAAAAAGTAACCCTTACTATAATTTTATTAGATTAAAAAGTCAGCATGTTTTCTGGCAATATTGATCAAACGGCCAGATGGGCAAAACAAATATTTTATTTGGTCCAACTTGCTAATCAATATTATTTTTGCTTGTCTCGATCTTTCAATATGTCCTGGTATCCTTAATATTGTTTTTATATTAAATTAAATACCATACCTTCCATAGTATCGGCTTGGAACTTTTTTTTGCTGCCCCAATGGTTTTGTTGCCAATAGTTCTGAATCCTAGACTTGTTGCCATTCTCTTCTTTTCTTAACCTTGTGTTTTCATGGTTGTTCCTTCTACCACCCTGCACAATTGTAAATAAAAAGTCTTATTGTAAATCATATAATAAATAATATTTATTACAAATGGTAACAATGTAGGTTTTGTTAAATGAATTAATATATTTTACATATATTCAGATTTAAATTTTATATTTTTTTAGATATTTATTTTTATCAACATTTTTGATTATGAATAAATTAAAATTCCAAGACTGTCATTATGGTATCTGAGTAAAAATATATTTAAGTATTCTTTAACTATTAAAAATATAATTGTTAAGAAATAAATGGGGCATCGGTAGCAGCAACGGTTAAGACACGGCGCTCATCACTCAGGTAAAGGGCATTCAAACCGTAATTACAAATCAGTTTTTTCCTTTTTAAATACCAGCATCCCAAGGGTTGGATATGACATCTGTTGTTGCAAACCCTTGTTAAAAAATAAATAAATAAACTTTGTTTAATTGTTTTTCATCTAATGTTTTTTTGAAAGAACAGATTCAACCTTTTTTAAATGAGATGTATACATTTTGAAGCTGCCCTGCTTCCTCTTCAGCTTACAAAATCTGCATAAAACATCATTTAATTATTTATTGTTTTGTGATTGACATTAAAAATTGATATTGTTGTTATTATATAAAAGCTAATTTTTCAAAAAAACTCAAATTGATTAAAAGAAAAAAATATACAATTTTAACCAATTTGACTTTTTGAAAAATTAGCTTTTTAATATTAGTTTTTAATATAAATAACAAAACAACAGTACTCATTAAATTAGGTTTTATATAGATTTTGTAGGCTGAAGAGGAAGCCTTATTTGTTGAATTTTAAGTTTTTGATGAATAAGAATTTCTTGAAATATGCAAAAATTAATAATGTAACTGAGAATATATGCCGTAATTTATACTGGTCGCTCGATGAAACCAATATAATTTATATTTAACAAAAAGAAAAGTATGTTTATGATATTAGCAAAAATATTTGACACAGGAAAACAAAATAATTTTGAAATTATAATTTGTAATTTGTCATTTTATATAATTTTAGTCTACTTATCCTTGCTGTTTTGATCAATAAAACATGCATCGGCTTTTTGTTTTTGTTTAGAAAGGTTAATTTTATTATTATTTCTGTTATTATTTATTTTCGCTTAGATAACTGCATAACAATATCGGATTAATCTTATAAAATTTTAAGACCACAGGTTTTGGATAAACAAACCCTATTCATATAAACAGCTAAATAAATGAGAATAACTTCAACTATTTAATGAGGGGATGATAAATCTTTAAAAAAAAACTGGGCTAGCTATCTCAATTGTTTGGTACTAGCTTAACTTGACATGAAAAAGCACCCATTACATCTACTTAGATTAGGTCATCTTTTTTTTAAGAACAAGGATTCCAATACCAGCAAACAAAGTACTAAGACTATGGGCTCAAGCCTTCATAATGTTTATGGTGCATTTTTCAATACAATTTTTGATTTTCCAACCTGCACATCTCATTCAATAGCTCAATCCACAGCCGAAGGAATTTATTCTGAGCAACTTTTAGTGTCCTATATTTACTTTAAAATGTCGACTGCCAGGCAGCACAGGATAAAATATGAGCTTACCACCATTTTGTATATAAGAAAAAATTCAAACCTGACTACAGAGTAGTGGAAACGTCAGTTTGACATCTATTTTAATATTTGCTACCAGTAAATTAAGGTGTGTCATAAAATTTAGCTTGCTGTCAAGCCATAGACCCAAGTATCTGAAGGTGAGCACAGTATTACATGTCATTTATCGCTACATCATCACCGAGTATAGGTTGTCCCCTAATGAAAAGAATAGCAACTGTTTTTTCAGGATTAATGCTTACGTTCCACTTCTTAAAGTAGTAACCAATTTATATTCAGTTTTTTAGTGATAGTGCAAGTGTGCCACAAGGTTGAAAAGAGGGTAGTGTCGTCTGCAAATAGGGCCAATTTGATATGCAGGAACTATGGCACATAATACGTAAACATGAAACAATGTTGTTCCCAGCAATGGAACCTTGAGGAACACTTACAGTGGAAAGTTTATGGATTAATTTGTAAACAATTTTGGTCATTTTATATATTCATCGAGGAAGGAGGAAATTGTCTTGAAACTGGGAAGTATATCTGATAAACATGGACTGTTCAAACAGGTTTATCACCCTGCAGATCCCAAGAAGAAATATCAGAATAATTTGCTCATTATACAATTATCACCTTTACCTTCCTTACACATCCCTTTAGGTGAGACCAAATGAAGGTCTTCAGGCAGGCCCCTTAGACGATCAATTATATTGCACAATATTTTTGACCTCTTAGGGTTAGTATTGAAGTGTGCTCAATAATTAAACAAAATGTTTGAGCAAGTTTAATTTTCAGTACGCCGTATTTTTCCGTTGCATGAGTTAATATTGCACAATATTTTTTAGTCTATATCACCTTGCAACACTAGGTCTTGCTCACGCAAAAACATTGATGCTTGGGCATGATAAATTTGGATCAATATGTCATTCAATACTATTGCACAATAAAAGTATTGTATCGGGTTGTCCGGAAAATAATGCAGGATTTTAAGTTTTCATTAAAAAAAATCTATATAAAATATTCTGTTTACGTTTACAGGATTACTCATTTGTATGAATGTCAACACTTATTAATCCTCTTCCAAATGATATTGTTTGTTTACCTCTGTAGCATTCCGCTACTTGGAAATAATTCAGTCATCCTTATAATGTCAAAGCGAGAATTTCGTACGATTTTCTTTTACGAGTTTAAACTCGGCCGAAGCGGAGCCCAAACGGCTAGAAACATTAACCAAGTCTGGGGCGAGGGTTGTGTTAATGAGTGCACTGTGCAAAGGTGGTTTAAAAAATTTCGGGAGGGAGATTTCAGCCTTGAAGATGAAGAAGGTCGTGGAAGGCCTTCCTCTCTTAATGATGATGTTCTGCGATCAGTGGTGGAAGAAAACCCCAAAACAACTGTTCGAGAACTTGCAGAGCAACTCAAAGTCAGTAAAACGACCGTCGCTGACCACCTCAAGGCGATTGGAAAAGTGAAAAAACTCGAAAATTGGGTTCCACACTCATTAAACGATCGCCAAAAAAATCAGCGCTTTGATGTTTGTGCATCACTTCTTTGTCGAAACAAAAATGACCCATTTCTGGCCAGAATTGTTACATGTGACGAAAAGTGGATTCTCTACGATAACACTAGACGTTCTGGACAGTGGCTCGACAAAGGAGAAGCTCCAATACATTTTCCAAAGCCCCCAACTCATCAAAAAAAGGTAATGGTTACGGTATGGTGGGCTTCATTTGGTTTAATACACTACAGCTTCTTAAATCCTGGCGAAACCATCAATGCTGAATCATACTGTAACCAAATTAATACCATGCATCAGAAATTGGCAGTAATGAAGCCCTCTTTGGTCAATCGGAAAGGGCCCATTTTGTTGCATGACAACGCTCGACCACATGTGTCACGTGTAACGTCACAAAAATTATTGGAGCTTGGCTATGAAACTTTGCCTCACCCACCCTACTCTCCGGACCTCTCGCCTACTGACTACCATTTTTTTAGACACCTGGACCACTACTTACAACACATAATATTCAAAAATCAAACGGAACTGGAAAATGCATTTATTGACTTTATCAATTCTAAAAATTCTGAATTCTACTCAGACGGAATTAATAAGTTACCAACACGTTGGGAGAAATGTATTGAGAGTATGGGAAATTATTTTGATTAAAGAACATTGCTTTAAAGTAACTAGTTTCTTTTTTTTTGTTTAATACCAAAATCCTGCATTATTTTCCGGACAACCCAATACAATGTGTGGTGTTTAGTGATTGTTAGCCAATCATTATTAGGAGATAGTGAGATGCGGTCTGGTGTGACGTAGGTTTCAGAAAAACATTTTCTTATTGTACCAACATTTTTATCTTTATTGAGATCATCTTCAGGGCCTGGGATTTATAAACACTGCTTAAATTTTACAAATACAAGTAGGATATGGAAAAAAACATGTCGCACAAAAATGAAACAGAAAACAAACATTTTGAGTGAGTACAAATACTATGATTGAATCTAAAATTTCTAGCATTGTATAAATTCATTTTTTTCACATCCTTCATGTATTTGTAAAATTTAAACAATCTCAATAAAAATCGAAACGTTGGCACGATAAAGTTTTTATAAAGCCTACATCACACCAGACTGCATCTCACAATCTCCAAATAAGTATTGTAAAATGTTACTGTATGTCCCCAAAAATTGTTTTTAGCATACCAAGAAGCCATTTGTTCTGCTGGTATGCGGTCCCCTTATGCACGGTGGGGTGGAGAATGGGAAAAATTTATCAACAATTATCAAAGTTATAAAAATATAACTAAAACCTGATGTTCTATATATAAATTTAAAACTGACATTCAAAAAAAAAAATTAATGAAAGAAAAAATCAATTTTTTGTCTTCACAAAAATTAAAATCTATTCATAATACTGATAGGTAATTAAGAATAGTCTATTAAGGGATTATCTTATGTTTACTTGCAATCTTAAGTTGAATTATTTCAACTTATGAATTGACAAAACAAATTACATCTACTGTAAAACATAATTTTATAAATAAATTTTTTAAGAATTTAGATTAAGGTTGTACCTCTCTTTTAAAATGCATGGACTTTCTGAAGCGTGGTGGGCAATTCTCTCTCATAAAACGTGGACCCGATGAACCATTTGAATTCATTCTGTTTTTTTCTGCCACGACAGAACGGGTTTTGTTTCGTGGCATAATGTTATGTCGAGGTGGCGGTGGCAGTGGCGGTACAGGTGGTGTTTTTCCATTTATATGCGCATTTTGTGTTGAATCCAGAAACCACTGTTGATTTTCCAGGTTTTGACAAACGTACGATGTAAAGTCATCAAAGGAATATATGTTTTTCTTTTGATATTTTACTTTAGGAAACTTGTTTCTATGTTTCTTTAATAAACTGTTATCGGCTCTTAATTCTGGAAATTGTTTTTGATGCTCAGCTTCTGTTAACTCAAAGATTTGAACGTTATTTGCCTCTTTTGTCTTTAAAGAGTTACTGAGCATGTCTGAAGAATTCCTTTCTTGGCTGTTTATTACTTTTGTCGGAGACATATTAGTACAGGTGTTAGGTGTCTGTTCAGACAAAGCCATCTGTTTATTGAATCCTGACTGAACTGATGAACGTTTAATAGTATCCTCTTTGAGGTTATCAATACTGTCCAAATTAACATTACTTAATTTTTTATCATTTGTCAGTGTTGATAAAAGATTATTTACTGGCTTTTTTATTTTAATATTTTCCCCAATTGTTTTGTGTCTTGAATTCCTTATATTAGTTTTTAAAGTGATGCATTTTGTGCTTTCATTTTGTTTTTCTTCATATAAATTATTGTTAGGTTGATAGGATGGTAACAGATTTTGATTTTGATAGCTATTATTGTAGTGACATGCTGCAGGGTAAGAGTGCATATTACTAGAATATATATTTGTTGGTGGATAATGAGATGGTAAAACGCCGCTCATTGGCGGGAAAGGCAATGGAGCTCCAGGAATGAAATTTGATCCCACGTGATAATGTTGAAACTGTGTGTACGACTGAGGAGATGGAAGGTGCCATAAGCTTCTAGGATGATAATCTGAAAATGAAGCCTCTGTGAATGGAGATGAAAGTAATCCAGGACTCGAACGTAGGTAAGGAGATAGACAACTTGTCATACTCTCTTCAGAGACATCATGCTGACTATGAGGACAGCCTTTTCTCGGTTCTTCACCGTCTAAAGGATATGAAGGTACAAAAACTGGAGCTAAAACATTGACTCCTACTTGTGATTTCTCACTATGCAAGTGATGTTCTGTTTGTGTCGAACATTCGGTAACTTTTAATCTTTTATGAGATTCGTTTATTCCCATTTCAATCTTGACACCCTGAAACAAGCTAATAGTTAATTTCATAACGTAAGGAGTGCACAAATAAAGTTATTACAATCTAAAAAAATATTTGTGCATACTGTATATACTTAGTTTTTACATCTAAATCAAGTTTTTTTTTAATAATATTTACATATGCATTAAGCCAGAATGTCACTTTTAAAGAAAATATCAATTTTAACATTGCCAACAAGGCCATGTTTACACATGGACATGTACTTTTGGGCCAAAGCCCGTTGACTCCCAGATAACTGATGGGTGTCACTCCATGGCACCATATAGAGAGCATGAAGGAATGCCACCTGATATGAAAATTGCAGCACATCTTCAGGCCCCCCTGTACCAATTTTTGAAGGAAACAAGGCTTTCTATTGTATACAGTACTTTGTTCATATTAGTTTTGGGTATTTTTGAAATTGGATGTATTTATCTGAGTGTGAAAGAGCCATTTGTGGAATATTGACCACATAGTCCCTCCATTAAATTAATTATACGTGTAAATGGGGAAGAATGTTGAATACTCCACCACCTATTTAAGTCAATAGTATGTAAGAAGGAATGAGATATGTATTCCATTAGCTAAGTACCATGAGTACTTTAAGTGAAAGGGATTGATTAGAAAGTGTTTTTTTTTGTAAATGAAAACTATAGCTATCTCATTGGTACCTAGATCAAACTAATATTAAAGATGTTGAACCCAATTCTTCCCTATCCACCTGATATGAGAATTCTGGTTGAGTATGGCAGTGAGTATCTGGTCCACTGTTCTGATTTGTAGAGGAAATAGGGCTATTGAGGTCAAATACCCTGTACTTCCAAAACCAAAAGTGGTTGATTCTCATTGTAAGTGGTAAAAAGTTATAAGCTCAATTTTATACATAACAGTATTTAGGTGATGCATGTGCTGAATTGAGCTTATATAAATCAATAAATACATACATACATAAATCTGGAAAATAAACTATACTCACTTCTTTTCTAGAAGTTAATATTTTTGTTCTGTTTGGTTCCCCACAAACATGTCCCTGTTCTTTATTTTCAAGGTGCTCTAACAAAATCAGGAAGTCATAAGTAAGTTGTTGATAATTAAGAATCATTTCCTAAAAACACAACGAAAACCTAATATTATTTGTTTTGTGACGACTTAAATAAAAAGAATATTTATTTATTTATTTTGTTAATAAGGCCATATCTCTGTAAATGAGATGATTTATTTAATTATACTTTCATTAATTTTATTATGGATTTGTTTGTGTACAACAATCCTTCAATACAGGATAAATAAAGAGGCAATAAAGGTCGTGATGGTGGGAATTGAACCCACGACTGTGGGATCTACGAGCCAAGAGTCTATCATGTTGACCACTCAGTTACCACACATATCAATATATTAATTTGATTTTTTTATGTAAACATAAACAGCAGGAGTTATTAAGTCTTTTAAAATCATATTATTGTTTATACAATTTATCAAAACTTTTAAATATTTCCTCAAATAAAATTACTTACTTTGCATGCTGATAAATTACTTGTACTCAAACACATGGCATACACCTCATTAGAGGAAGACTTGACATCTTTCAACAGATGCTTCCAGTACATAACACCGTAATCTGTAAAGAGATTAAACAACAAATAATATGGGTTTTTTTATATTTACTTTTTAAAAATGTTTTCCTTAATTAAAAACAACTTTTATGAACTAAAATCATGGTATGAATAATTTATGGTAAAAAAATGTTATGTTTTATAAATTGTAGAGAAAAGAAAAGCCAAGAAAAGTATTTTAAAAAAATCCCCAAATCCATTAAATCACAGCTCACATAATAATAAAGAAACATTGTTTAAAGAGTAAATTATTCTTGATCAAAGAATGGCATATCAGGAAATTCGTTGTTTTTTGGTTCACTATCTTGTATCATTCAGGTCTGACATCTAGATAGTTTTCTTTCAAAGGTGGATTTGCCCCAATCCAGTGAGAACAAACAGTCTAGAAAGATCAGAGACAATAAAGCCAGAGTAGTTATCGTGTTTGGTCACCAAATTCCAAAGGTAGACCAAAATGATGAGAACAGCCCAACTACAAACTACATTTTGTTTGGACAAATAGAAAATTTTTGGGAAAATAAGTTTGAAGTGGTCAAATGAGTTTTCTGTGTTTATAAAATGAAACTAAACATGAGGTAATATTACAATAAAATAATATGAAAAGTAGACCATGGTGGTTAAGAAGTTACGTCTGACTACACACTGAGTATACACTATACATTAGCGGTTCTGGGTTCAAATCTCATAACAGCCTTTTTAATTGATCATAATATCATTAGTAAAGAGTGTATTTAGCGACCAGTTGTTCATAATTTGTTGAAGTAGTGAGGAGCGGTCAAGAATGAAGTATTTTACAAAAAAATATAATAGAAAAGAAATGTTTGGTTTTGTAATTCACCCAGTCCCTAAAGATGACCCGTATAAAGGAGGGAAAAATGATAAAGGCGTTTTTCTAAAATACTTCATTATTTCATTTTATCATCATCATACTGCTCCTCACTACTTCAACAAATTATTGTTAGTAAAGTGGTTTGACTCTTTACCCAGACACCCAACAGGTAGTTGGACTTTAATCCATCCTGTATAACAGAAAGTACTTTATTTTTACTTTTAATATGATGTAGAACAGTATGTAAAGTGAAAGAAATTGGTTTAGATTTAATTTCTACTATTTTGAATCTAGTGTTCAATATATTTGTACATAGAAAAATTTTAGTTTTAATCAATTATATATCTATACTTTTAGCCGATTTTTTAGGTAATTTTACAATACAGCAGGGAAATCAATAAATCAGAGAGAGGACCAGTCTATCCCTGGACTCAGCGAACGAGACGAGTCAACAGCAGGAGGAGGACACAGTCAAGCAGCCACATTCAGTCGGGGATTCAGCCAGCAATGACATAGCTATTGTGACACGTCAGATAGAGATTATTAAGGATTCAGGAAGCTGCAGGAAGAAGATCCTGCAAGTTGCTGAAGGGTGTAGAGGGTGGTGTGCGCAAGCTCAGTTGTTTGGAGTCCTGTTGTAAATAGGCTCATCCACAAAATTAGAATTGTGGCTGTCTTGCTTTGTTTGTTTAACTTTTTGTTTATTGGTTACCTACCATATTGTGAAAGTCGGAAATAAACGTTTTTGAACCCTATTTGTCTGGTTTGTTGTATTTTTGAACTTTACCTTCCCACCATACGAAAAGTGTTTAAGCACAAATGCTGAATGTTTTCTGATTGCTTAGAGATAACTGCATAGAATATCAGTCCTGCTTACACTAGAATAATTTTCCTACTGAATTGACAAATATTGAAGTATTGAAAAACTTTAATCTTATTTGAATATTTATTTTGGCAATATAAAATTCATCTGAAGTTTAAATTATTAATTAAAAATTGCTAATTTAAGTTATCAATTTAAAATATTTACCTTGTCCATTATTAAAATCAGCCTCTGAGTCATTCACATTAATTGCATTTTCTTTATCTAAAAATAACAGAACAAAATTTATTTACTCATTTTAAGTCAGATTTTAGAATGCCTGCAACAAGCTTTCATAGTTTGTATGAAGGGGCTGTCCTATATTTGACTGTTGGTACTAGTTTGCCAGGTTTAGTGGTATGGGATTCATGCTTATGTATTTGTATGTTTTTGTGAAGTTAATGATTAAGTGGATGTTGTTTACATTTTTTTTTTTTGGGGGGGGGGCTCTGCTGTTTTGTATGAATTCTACTATTTTTGAGATGTCGTCTCTTTTTGTCATGATAACTAGTCTGCAATTCCTTTGTCTGCTTGATTTCAGGTCATTGTTTGTTTGTACACACATATATATTTTTGTTTTATCTGTTATGTCTGTGGGTAGAAACTGATGTCTGTTTCTGCGTCTACTATGGTTTATGTTGTTGTCTGTTGAGTGTTCATTACTGATTTTGGTCTTTTTAAATTGTGTTCTTTGTGTTGTTTTCGGTGATTTTGACAAGGTCAGTTATTGTTTCCTGAGGGTGTAGATTGCTGATTGCTAGCAGTAAATATAGTCTTTGTTGAGCCTGTCTATTCTTCATATATAATGAACTGATTTCTGCTTTTACCAATTTTTTTTTTTTTTGCTTTTTTGTTAGCAGTTGTTGCGGTGAAAGTCTGTTTTTATTCTAACTTATGCATCTGCAATTGGAAAAGGACATGGTATACCTTGAAGTAATACTTTAAGTCCAGAAAATTTTATTATCTTTCGATTTTTTTTTTTAAATTTTCAAATATACACAAACATTTACTTAAAACTCAAGTACAAAACATGTGTTTGTTAAACTGAGTAAAATAATAAAAGTAATACTAATCATAATAACAAGAATAATAATAAAAATAAACATTTATATAAAAAATAATAACAAAATAAGAATAATAATAATATAGTANCACCTTATCTACATTAATAGTAGTTATTTATTTACTATTAGTTTTAAATATATATCTAATTACATTACAATAACTAATTTACCTTAAATATTATACTTTTACCTAATTACTTACAGTACTCACATTCAACTGTGAATTGACCGTTTAAAAATGCAGTCACTATCAAAAGAACTAAAGAAAAACTATTTATAAGTGCATCACTTAATAAAATTTTAGTAATACGAGGGACAGATTTCTAATCGTTTGAGAACAGTGAGAGAAAAAAATGATACATATGCAACCGAATTATCAAAATGAAAGTATTTTTCATATAATATAACTATTTGACAACTTCATTACCTGGTGTTTCCATTTTAGAATTATCATCTTCTTCACCCTTTTTTTCCATATCTGAAACAATATTTAAGTAAAATTATTCAAAATTAATTGTGCTTTACAACTATTGCTAAAAGTATTTTGTTTGAATAGCTAGGTCTAGCCAGGTGACATAATCTAAGCTCTCGGATATCTGACTGATGACTGAGGCCGTGTTTTGAGATGATCGAAGATGTTTTTCTAGCCTATACACATTGGAAAAAAAATCTAATTTGAGTATTGCTAGTTTTGTTTAAATCGTGACATGATAGCTGGTGTTTTTGGTCTAATCTTTTCCCACAAAAGAAAAAAATAATGTGGTGAAATTATATAATGTAACTTCACCGACTTGAGGTGTGTCACCACAAAGAAACTCCGCTAAAAATATTATATTCAAGTGTATAGGGTGGTAGGTGCATTTTTCAGTGTAGGAAAAAACAATGCACTCCCTGCTTAAATGAATGCTGGTGCTATTTTCTAACTGAAAAACACTTAATGAATTTAATTACCATTTTGCAATGTAAAGTTCTAGGCGGAGAATGTGGCTGGTGAACACTATGCCAGAGAAATCAAAAGGCTTGATGTTATAAAGGAAAAATAGCCATCTATTCGGAGGGTCAGGTGGCACAAAAGGCAGCCACCTTATCGATAGTAAAATCCAGAGTGGAAACATGTGGAAACTTTAGTACACTTTAGTCACCACACTCACTTTTACATTGCAAAATATTAAGAAAATTGGTTTAATAAAAAAATTATTTGTAGTTCACTGAGCTGAGTACTGACTGAAAAACTATTGTGCAAGTACAGTTACAATTCTTGTTGCTACTTTAAAAGCACCAGAAGCTATTTAAAATAAATAGATGTATTTTTTCCATTAGTATATCAAAAATGCACACCCTATGAGTAAATAATATTTCTCTTTCTGAATGATGATTCAATACGTTGAAATATACACCAGCAGGCAGAGTTGCATCAAAGATGAGAATAAGTGTTTTTTGCTATCTACTCGCCCATTTTAATAGTCATCACACATATTTCAGTAAAACTAATTAAATATTTTCTGCCTCCACTCATGGGGGTTTTAGTTATTCAAAGATGTGTCTGCACTGCACCATCTTCAGTAAGGAAATTTCAGGAATTTCTCTCTAAAGATGGTGTTTGAAAAACTCAAAAACCTGAGTGAGGAGACAGACCTAGTAAGTGACTCTGTGCCAGTTCAATATAAGTTCACTGACTCTCAGACCAAAAACCATCAACTCTATTTAATTTTTCTGAACCTGATCCATACAATACAATTAGATAAGAATCAAGTGACAGAATAATTTTTAAGAAATGTCCAATTTCAAGAAAAGGCAAAAAAAAACCATTTGACATTAAACAATCTATAAAAAAATTAATGGCAACAAAAACAAAGAAATGAAAAATATAAACGTTTATTTTTCTTTGATTGTGTTGTTATTAGTCCTGATGCAAGCTGTTTTCTGTAAATTAGAGGATAAAATAGTTTAAAAAAATACGTTTACCAACGGCAAACGAACATTGTTCGAGTAGAATTGGAGTTCTTGTCTTGTAAAAGTGTTTCAAGCAGAAAGAATGTTATTTGATAGAATGTGAAAAAGATCCAAAGTGGATTATTTTTTTATTAATCTGATCTTCCAGTAATTGAAATATAAATGTTTAAAAAACATTATTTGCAAATTACTGAGCACTACTGAGTATTGACTCAAGAATGGTTGTTCAAGTAGAATTGCAGTTCTTGTTGCAATTTTATAAAAATATTTAAGCGAATTGAATGTGAAAGAGATCAAAAGTTGATTCTTTTTTATTAATCTGGCCTTTCTGTTATTGAAATAGAAATTTTAAAAAAAGTTATTTACCAATTACTGGGCACTACTTAATACTGACTCAAGAATGATTGTTCAAGTAGAATTGCAGTTGTTATTGCAATGTTATATGAATATTTAAGCAGATCAAATGTGAAAGAGATCAAAAGTTGATTTTTTTCTTTAATCTGACCTCGCTGTTATTAGACATAATTACAAGTTGTTTTCTTTAAATTGAACTTAGAAAAAGTATAAAATAACGTTATTTACCGATCACTGAGCACTTCACCCTGAAGAGATTTTGTTCAAGTTCAATTGCAGTTGTACAGAGATATTCAAACAGATAGATTGTAATTTTGTTTTAAAATGAGAAAAAACAAGGATTAAAACGAATGAAAACTAATATTTTAGTCCGTTTTTAAAATATAATAGTTGATTGATCACGGAAAAGAAAGCCTAAGGTGATTCTTTTTTGTCTGATCTTGCTGTTATTAGCCCTAACTTGTTTGCTTTTGTTCTAAACAAGGAAAATTTGTAAAACTAACGTAATTTACCATTTACCGAGCTTTATAGTCGAATTTTTATGATAGAAAACAAATTGAAAAATTGTATAAATTCAATTTAATCAGGCAGTTGGGAGAGCTTATTCTACGATTCTACTTACCGGATAAGCGCATTGGAAGGAAAACTTGTCACATTTCAATTTTTTATTGTTTAGTTTTCGGCCGATCAAAACGTAACGAGGGCACTTTTTTTTTTTAATAAAACCAAATATAAATATACAAAAAAAATGAAACCACGTACAAAAACCAAAGAAGGAAGAGGGTTACACAACATAAACAAAATGATAACAACTTCGGGTAGGTTTCCTGGTCGGTGTTGATTGAGGGTGACCACAACCATCCTGCTTCTGCATTAATCTCTAATTTCCCACATTTAGTCAATTTTATTTTAAACCAAGGTTTACAAATTTTACAATATTATTTATCCCCATCTGTGACACATTTTTCATTTCAATTGTTAATTGTTTATAATTCCCAATTTACCTTAAATTGTAGAAATAAATGTAATTAGAGTCACCGATAAGATTTTTTGTTTAATACTGTTTAAGTCATTTAAGTCAAGTTGTTTAAGTCACTGGAATAATTATGCTATGTTAAATTATCTCTACTCAAAAACATTTCTATTAACTCTGTAAAAGTAATTTCCACAATTCCTAAAATCTATTCCAACTAAAGGTGGTGGACTTTATTCCTGTACATCATAACATTCATTTTAATAATAATTTTTTGTAAAAAGAAAGAAAATTTTTATTGTACACAACACTAAAAAATGTAATCCAGATACTCTGGAGATGTACATGTATATAAAGTGGAAGGTTTATAAACCGGCAAACAGCTGAGGTTATCGCTGGCACTCTTCATGTCTGTACTTCTTTTCCTCGTCTTTCATGTGTATTTTTCAACTGCAGCCATTTGGGAGTCTCGATCTGTTACTGATTATCTGCTTCAGAAAAATAAATTTCATTCATTCTAATAAATTAACATAAAAACAAACCCCGATAGAAACATACAACCCTGGTCACGTTTACTCCCTCAGAGTACTCGATATTCCTCGTCGCGGGGTTATAAGCAACCCCCTTCCTTTCACGCTAATAAATTACATTCATTCCAATAAATTAACAAAAAACAACCCCCGATAGAAACATACAACCCTGGTCACGTTCACTCCCTCAGAGTACTCGATATTCCTCGTCGCGGGGTTATAAGCAACCCCTTCCATTTACGCTAATAAATTACATTTATTCCAACAAATTAACGAAAAAAACAACCCCCAATAGATACATACAACCCTGGTCACGTTCACTCCCTCAGAGTACTAGATATTCCTCGTGGTGGGGTTACAAGCAACCCCTTCCTTTCACGCTAATAAATTACATTTATTCTAATAAATTCACATAAAAACAACCCCCGACAGAAACGTACAACCCTGGTCACGTTCACTCCCTCAGAGTATTCAATATTCCTCGGGCGGTTTTTTTTTTAATTTTTTATTTTTTATATAATGAGTTTAACTAACAATTTATTACACGGTTTCGCACATAAAATTTAATTAACAATTTATTTCATGGTTTTGCTCATACAATTACACCATTTTCGTTGAGTAGACCGAACAGGGCACTCATATTTTAGAAATAAAGCCCAATTAATTTATTTTCGAGAAGTCCACACCAAATGACAGTGTTGTGAACCACCTGATGATGACAAGAGTAAGGATTTCAGGATTTTTCTCTGCCCAAGTTCGAAAATTCCAACGGTTTAGTATGCCATTAGAGATGAAGTATTCATCAGTCCATGGGGTCTACAGAAGAATGTTTTCTTCAGCCTCACAAATAGACATTTGTGCCAGGAACGATAGACGCCTGTCGTAATCAGAGCCACGAAGTCCCTGGACAAGATGAGATCGATACGGTTTAAAATTGTAAGTCTGGAATACATCTCAAATTGTATTTTTTGAAAAACCTAAAACCCGTCCAACATTTCGGAAAGGAGAATTCGGATTTTCGCGAACATACAGTAAAGTATCCAGATCCTCGTCGAAATTACTCCGCCGGTTTCTTTTTGGCATAACTTTGTCATTTTTTGACCAATTTTAAATCCGATTGCACCGTTGTTTTCAGCGTAAAAAATCCTTTAAAATGGTGTGTCGGGATGTATAGGGTCGTATTTGAAATTTTGAAGTACTGAGGTACCCTGTAAAATTTTGCTCCAAAAAAGGTAAAAATTGGAAACTGGACTAAAAAATATTAAAGACTTTTTTTATAGCGTCGTTGGGTTAAGAGAAATTCAGCCAGGCCATAAAAAAAGGACACCCTGTATATACTAAAGTCAAGGGATCGGAATCGTTGACAAAATAGTAGATTTATAACACATCACCCACTATGTACCAAAATTGTAATGGACAACGTGCTCTAATCCAACAATACCGTCTTAAACTTTTGATAGAAGCTTTGGGAGTTGGAATGCTTGGTTGATCCCAGAGTTAGATACCATAAGTGCACAAAGGTTTCAGAATCATGGTATACATCAATCTTTTGTAGTTAAATATAAGTTTGGATCGACTGTCGAGTAGTGGTGATGACAGTTTATAACGTTTGATTTTTTTTTTCTTGTGTACGGTTTCAAAGTAACGTTTTCGACAGGGGGGAGTTAATCCCGTTCTGGTAAACAGGAGATAGTGTACGTCTGAATGTGAGGTTAATGTATTCTTAGTTGCATTTATTTTAATTCTACTCTTTTTGGACCAAACTTCGAAGCACTGCAGTTTTGACGGTTTCTGTATACAATAACTAGATCATTATGCAGGGAAATGCTGTATTGTCAGCAAAAATGGACAGAATTGTTTCTGGGCGAATAGGAATGTCAGCAGTATATATAGTGTAAAGGGGAGGTCCAAGAATGCTCCCTTGTGGGACGCCGGTTTGGATAGGTAAAGGATATCGTTGTGCCATGTCTCTGAAGTAACATTCAGACAGGTCCGATTGTAGGATAAGGTACTAGTGGGTAGGATGCTCTTCAGCTTCTACAGGAGGTCCGGGTGCCAAAACCTTTTGAAAGGCTTGAGCCATATCATGGAACACACCCGGACCGCTTCTTCTCAATGATACAATGACAAGTACACGAAAAAAGAAACTCAAGCTACCAGCGAAAAAAATGTGATTACGACACTACAAATCAGCTATCACCTCTTTTCAAGAAAAAATTTAAATTTATCTAATTTTAAATGCTTAATTCACGAATACTCTGGATCTCGGTAATGTTTTAAAAAAATTCCTCCATTGTTACTGCCAAGCTTTCAACCTATTTTAAGGTCATTATCAAAGTAAAACAATCTTAAATATGTTACGTGGCAATATTGGGACTGAGTCGGTCTTCAAAGAAATTTGAAACCAGCTCATAAAAACTTAATTACGTCAATATGTAGACATATTTAAGATTGTTAAAAGAGAAGACCAAGAATGCTCCCTTGTGGAACGACAACTTTGGTATGACAGATAGAAGGTATCGCTGTGTCCTGTCGAACTCTGAAGTAACGTTCAGACCAGTACGATTTTATTCAATATTGTTACTGTCAAACTTTCGACCGATTTTAAGGTCATCATCAGGGCAAAACAATCTTAAATACGTCTACATGTGTTAAAGTCCTTGCGCTAGAGCCCAGCAGGGAGTATTTGGGTTCTCTGTTACAACTTTTGAAGGGAAAAAAAGCCTGTGTTACTTTCGACCTATTTCATTTATGAAGATAGACTTCCAACACTGCCAAGAACTATAACACTGAGAGTACTGTCGTAGCAATGTTACAGTCGTGGGCAATGTTGAAACTGAGTCGGTATTAAAAAAAAATTGAAACCCTCTATTCAGAGCTAATTATAACAATTTGCAGACATAATTAAGATTGAGCTGATGACGATCTTAAAATAGGTCGAAAGCTTGGCAGTGACAATAGAATTTGTTTTTTTCGTCCAGACCATACCGAGATCCGGAGTATTCGTGAATGAAAAATTGGTCGATACATCTAACATTTTAAATGCTTAATTTATAGATAAACTGTGATAATTATAATAATATAAAACATGAAAGTTCCAACTACACATCTAAAAGCTCATTGAAAGAAAATCTTCTTCATTTAGAAAGCTTTTGAAATTAATTTCTAATCGGTACACTTAGCATCCAAGTAAAAATATAAAATGTAAAAAGGATTTGGTTTTTGCATCAGTAAGATAAGATATGACGGACTTCCTTGTTGATAAAAGAGTAATCTTTATCCTTTCTTTTATTTACAACGATCAACGCCGAAGTCAATCTTGCGAGACCTTCAGACGCAGCAGGTCCCAACTAGTCTCAAATACTTTACATGCTCGTATTATATGCAATTCAACTGAACCATTGCTGAAATGTATTTTCTCATGGAGAGGTAATTAATAATTTATTTTTTCGTATCATCGTCTTTTTCTCTAAAAATTCGCTTTAATTTTTTCATCTTAGAAAAGGATTGAAATTCACATACCTTCGATGATTTTGATGACTGGATATATTCGAAAAATCATTTATGTGCATATACTTATATTTATATATTTTTTTAATATATATATATTTTTTTTTTAGGCTCAAATCGAAAGGAAGAATGAGAGAGTTCCTCGCAGTAATTGTCCTCCTCCAAATCTTTCCAGTTTCTCTTGCAGTCCAAGAGCGTAAGTGGAAAAAATATTTATACGATAAAGTTCATTTATACTCGTCCACGAGTGTATTGTAATTTAAGTAAATTTTCAATTTGGGAAGTAATCGTTGAAATTGAAGCTCTTGTCTCTTGAAAGCGAGTCGTTTCCTGCAGCCTAAACAGGCAGGATCTGGAAACGAACAGTTTATTATGCCTTTAGTCGTCAATTAAATAACTATCTACAATAACTATCTATAAAACTAATCTATAATAACTATATCTATAACAATATTTAACGTTTAAAAGACAGTTATATTAAAAATATGCGATTGACACGCGGGCACCTGCTCCTGGCCCGCGCAGGTGCTCCTATGCAGAAAAATGTCGCCCTATGTGTCCCACATTATAGAAGCTTTGTCATGCCTGGCTCCTTATAGAGAGAGTGTAGGATTTAAGAATGGTTCTCGGACACGGTAGCGATTTTTTTGCGTCTCCTGTTCCGCTTTTTGGAGAACGTGTTTTTTTTTCTTTTGGTATTGTATACAGATCTGTTTTATGTATTTATTAATGTAAGTGTGAGTGGCTGATGATGAATATAAAGTTACCATCACTCCTCCTGGAAAGTGAATATTTCCAATTGGTAGCGGAATATTTATAAAAGTACCTAAGTAAGTAAGTAAAGTAAAATTGATGAATATCGACTCCTCTACCGATTAATTAGAATGATTGCAATGCACATAGCTGTGAATGTATTTATTTGTGCGATTGTATTAGAGAAGTTTTTTTTTCTTTTAACAATGGTATTTCAACTTCGAGGTTATTTGAACCCTCGGGGTGCCGGTGTTAAAAAAATAACGTATGTCGGGTCGAATGCAAGGCCGTTGGATTCGGTCCCGGGACCTTTTCCTTACAGTGATGAACGCTAAGTCACCGTTGTGGCCACCGACGCCACCATTTTTATTGGCTAGATTATATTTTGCACAGGGGACTGAAATGACCTAGCTGTCGAAAGTCTCGTTCACCCCCGTTGGTTGGGAAGCGATCTCCTGAGCATCTGACTTAAGGGAGATATTAGCGACCCAGCCGCATAAAGGGGTAGGTGAACTACCCTGACGTATCGACCCTAGGGTCACCACATCAGGGAGTGACAACAATTCGGGGTGAAAGTCCAAACAAGTACGCAAGTAAAAAACGAACAATATGTAAAATTAAAAAACATTTAGGCATGCATTTTTTAAAAGAATTTTTTATTTTAGGCATACTAGTTGCACTATGTCCAAAAAGAAAGATATATCAAGGTAATAAAAGAGATAATAAACCTTTAATTTTCAAATATAATTTGAAAATTATATAGCCTTAATTAATAATTACCTTTAGAAATCTTTAGTTCTCTGAAACTCTTCTTACTTTTTTTGCTCACTTTTTAAAACTTTTCTATCACTTTAGTGTTTATTTCATTAAATATGTAAATTAAGGTAAAACATGTAATTATACGTTAAATCTTTCAAATATTTACAAATAAGAAAATAAATTGCGGTTTATTTGCTTCTAAATAGCATGAAACATAACAAAAGTTCTAACCCTGGAGATAGAAAAAATTGCCCCCTGGTGAATCCAGACCAAAAATGTCTAATCTTCGATTCCAATAAAAATTTGTATTTAAGAGCTTAAAAAGGGGCTAACAACACTTATCTTACCAATATCAGTGAGCTAGCAATTTCAAAAATCAATCATTCCCCGGAAGCAAAAAAAAATGCTTAACACTGGTAGTCGTTTTTTTTTTTTTTTAATTGGAATTTTAAATTTTTTAAATGATTCGACTTATTTCTCTTATAAAGAAAATAAAAGAAGAGCCTATTGGTATGGTATGGTATGGTATGGTGGAAAAGGATACTAGGAAGTGAGGTTTGTATTCCCCAGGCACTGCAGCCTTCTGGCTTATTGTACCTTCCTAGTTCCTTAGTTCAGTCAATAGACTCAATCCTTCTTCTTAGAAGTATCAGGTCATTGACTGTTGCTGCTGCAATTTGATTCCATAAGTCTTTTCCGTACGTTAGGTTAAACCTCAATTGAGCTGTTGCTTTGCATTTGAAGATGATATGAGTGGCTGTTTCCTCCTCCTCATTACATAATCTGCAAATGGGATCATCGCTGTGTATACCCATGTTGTGTAGATGTTTTCTCAGATACCAGTGACCGGTTAGTAGTCCTACCACTCCTCTGAGTTTGGCCCTCTCCAATTGCAGCAGTGTTTTGCCAGTCTCGGTGAGGGTTGTTTCATCATAACACCTATGTCTAGCACCGCTAGAGTTTATCCACTTCTCCTTTTGTTTTGCTTGGATCCATTCTGCGATGGAGGATTCTATATTTGTTTTTGTTATCCCAAGGGCCTATTAGAGTACGTTTTCTTAATAAAAATTTAATAATTTTTTTTAATTGGCGGGTTTAAATTTGTTGTAGGCCTAAGGGTTCATTTAATAAATATACATTTCAGGCACACAAAGAAGATTTAATTTTTATTTTTATATTTTAAAAATTTATCTCTGATGTCAAAATGGTCAAATTGCTCAAATACTTGGTCCAGGTAGGGCATTGGACGGAAGATTATGTTACAAATCTCTGTCCTCAAGACCTGGTAGTCCATTTGAGTGTTGGCCGGCAAACTCTGATATTTTATTAAATTTGTTTTATAAATTTTTCCATTGGAATCACAGGGTGTTTAAATTCTGCCACCCCCTAAACAACTTGTGGGTTAGATTACATAATTTTAGACACCAGATATATACATGTATTAGATTTAAAGGGCTTAAAAGAACCTATATAACTCTCTTAAATGGATGGTATTTAACTATATAAAAGATGATTATAGAATGTCAAATAATTGTGAATTCATATATACTTAAATATAACTTTTCTAACTGTTCTAATTGGCTTAGATCATTGTATGTAATCTTCATATAATGAAGTGAAATAAATGTTTAAAATTGTGTAAGCACAAAAACAATATTTTTTATGCAACAGTGAAGACGAATGGTGATAGTTGATGCTGTATGTATTTTAACTGGGTTTTTAGTATTTGTCAAGTTCAACTTTATTGTCACTGAAATCTTATGTCATAACTAAAATAATTAGAATGTATTAATGCTTAATGTCATCAATATTCATTTTTGTTGAAGTTAAAACGTAAAGTTTAACTATATTTTTGTCTATTAATTTTTCCAAATGGTATTATCTTAAAAGAATGTAATTTGGATGCCTCAGTTCTGTGAGCCAGAATCATTTGTGCAGTCAGAAAAGATTTCGAAGTGATAGTGTAGGCAATTCAGATGAAAAAAAAATGTGATTATCATTTAGCTATTATTTTAATAGTGTAAGGTTTAATTAGTATATAATAAATGGAGAATTTAAAAGTAGGGGACAATTAATTTTTAGTTATAATATTTTGAGATGCAAAAGTGATAATTGTTGGTGATTATACTTTTTTTGTCTGATTTGATAGGCAAAGGCATATAATTTAGTTTTGTACTTGATTTATTGAAATGCTCGATTGATTTTTCATTTTGACAATGGATTTAAGAGCTCAGCTGTTACATTGGGATCAAACATTTGTGAACTTTTTTTTTTTTTTTTTTTTAATAATTTAAAGGCTGAAACCTTATTGGTCATTAAGCCTTGAGTCTGTGCAAGTTAACGGCGCAGCCCGGCCCCCTCAGAGCGAGGCCCCCGCAGACCCCGGCGCAGTGGCAGCCCCAGGCCTAGAAAGAACGGAACCCCACGGATCTCTCGCAACTGATGCTTTTAGTCTTAATATTGCGCGCAGGACTTTATCGAGGAGGGGTCGGTGTCTAGTCACCATCGACACCTCCTCTAAGCTCGCTGGAGATTCCTTGACCTCAGAGTCCGGGGAGGCACCCCTCAATCCAGCCCAAGACCGACCAGCACCCGAGGCCCCGCACGGGCGTCGCCAGAAGTCAGCCGCACCACACCGCCAACATGGGGAACCAGCAAAGGAAACAAGAGTTGAGGGGATGGGATATCAGATTTTATCAATTAGTTGGATGTCTGTTAAGAAGTTAAAAATTTTGTTTATTGATGTTGAGTTGTTGCTTAGTATGGATTGGAGGTCTTTGGGAATCTGATGGAGGGATCTTTTAGAAGTGTATAAAGGACAATCTATTAGGATGTGGGATATTGTGATGGTAGTTTTACAGAGCGGACATATAGGTTTAGGAGTTCTTTCAAGTAGGAATCTATGGGTGAGTCGGGAGTGGCCAATTCGAAGCCGGGTTAGGAGGGTTTCTTCTTTTCGGGAGGGTCTGGAAGAGGATTCCCATTTCTTTACATCTTTCTTTATTGCGAGGAGCTTGTTTCCTGTGCAGGCACCCCATTCACACTTCCATGCCCCCCAGATGAGCCGCCTAAAGTGACAGCAGAGGTCACTGAAGGGGACCCCTCCGTGAGGAATACCACTCAAGGCTGCCTTTCTCGCCATACGGTCTGCCTTCTCATTTTCAGTTATTCCAGCGTGGCCTGGGATCCATTTGAATAATACTTCCACACCTATGTCTTTATATTGTTTTAACTTTGCAAGAATATTGTAGATGTCTGGGTTTAGGGAGAATGTGTTTTTTAGTGTGGTGAGTGCTGAAAGAGAGTCAGAACAGATAATTAGGGTGGTACGGGGCACATTAATGATATTAATTGCTTTGAGTATGGCTAGGAGTTCAGCAGTATAACTAGAGCAATGGTGATGTAGGCGGAAACGATATACTTGTGACTCACAGACAACAGCAGATCCTGTTCCATCCTCAGACCTGGATCCGTCAGTGAAAACAAAAACTGCTTCTGAATGTGTAGATTTGAACATTAGAAATTCATTCTTAAATATATACAGTGGGGTACGATCCTTATTGTAAGATGAGAGTGAGTAGCAAATGGAAGGAGTGGGGAGGGTCCACGGGGGGATGGGGGATGTATGCGATTTTTGGACGTGAGGGACCTCAATTTTGTAATCTGTTAGGAGTATGTGGATTC